TGCTTTTCTTTTAACCATTTCCTGTCAGGAAGCCATATTTCCACTGGCAGTTGTCTGCAGTTCAGTGCAGAAAAGGTTACCAGTAAGGTTGAGGCTGAAGGGAAGATGAAGTGAAATATTAATGATCATGAGCTGCGTGTAGCCACAAGTCATTTTACTTTTAAGTTTGATACTGAATCAAATGAGAGTAAAATCACAACATGTGTGATCTGTCATCCAAACCTTAGTAAACAAAGAAAACACAACGTTGTCTGACTCACTGTTCAACCACCAACACCTGTAGGCCTCCAGCAGCGAGGGAAAGCACTTGCCAAACGTTTCTCTCCTGCATGTGACTCAGTGAGTAACGTCTCTGCTCATAGCACGGCCCACTGAGCCCACTGAGCTCTTCCCACGCTCCTCTCTGCCTGGACTTGTCCCAGAGCACAACTATGCTGCCTAACACTACTCAGACTCTGGATCACTGACAACATCCAGACGCAGGGCATGTGAACATGCAACCATCTGAATAAATATTTTAATACACTGAGATTGTTATATTGCATCGGTAAGACTAAGAAACCGCTGATCAATGGGAACTGAAGTGGGAACAATTTTGATAAACAATAAATCTTATAAGTTGTTTGTCAAGTAAAATGACAAACATGTCTCCAGCTACTGTAACATCAGAGCTTCAGTGGTTTTCCCTGCCGGATTTTGGACTGTTGGTCAAAACTTAACTAGAAATTTCAGACCATCATCTTGACCTCTCAGAAATCACGACATTTTATGGACTGAGTTTAGTTAATGGATCAAAAACAAAAATCTACAGGATTATCAATATCAGTGGTGTGACCTACATATTTTTTGATGTGTGATCTTGGCATGATTTAAAAGCTAAACTAATATTTGACATTTATTTTGGATTTAATTATGTCCACAGTAACACCTCCCATGTCTTTTTTTTGTCTCCACCTGGTCGACATTATTCTTAACGTGTGGTTGATTTGTTGTCTGATATTTTATGAACACACAAAACATGTGGCGCCTTGACATTCCTAAAACACAACATCTCTTCAGACTAACAAGGACACTTGTTGTCCTCCCTGGCTCATAATCTTGGTGTCTCTCACTGCTGTCACAGTAGGGGTTGAATGAGCAACACATATCATTAGGCTAGAAGTTCAGTTTAATCAAAACAAATAACCTTATACAACACATTATAGTTTAAATATGTTTAAATACCCGAATTTTCCATCACAGTTCAGACCAAACAAACTGAGCTGCAGGTGTGAAAGTGCACGTTTCAGGGCACTGACAGTCAAAGTGCAAAAAGATGCTCATATGAAAGTTGTAAGCGTAGAGGCTGGTGAAAGTCAAACCACAGCAGCTGCATCACTTCATATTCACTGCAGCCTGTGAAACCACCAGCGCACCTCCACCTCCACCTCTGCAGCCTCTTCAGCAGCAGCTCTTCCTGTAGCGACATGAAGAGGTGCAGCTTCTGTGGTTTGGACTTTTTCTCTTCTTCTTCTCCCCGCAACAGTTTCACACTTCTTTTTGCTACCGTTTGCTTTGTGAGGTCTTTTGTTAAAAACTCTTCTGACAGCACACAAACTACAAATGGACCAATATCGATATCTTCAGTCGAAGGTCACAGAGTAAATCTGTGAGAATTCAGCATCTTCAGTTTTGATTGTTCAGTTTTTGATCTTTCATCTTTCATACAAAAATAAATCTTTTCAAGGATTAAAATGTAAGAGCTTTTAAAGACAGCTTATCCCTTAAATATCACCTGAACTACCTTAAAAATACATTTGTATCATTCATGTTTGTTCCAATACTTCCTTAAATAAAATGTTTAATAATGAGCAAAATAGCAGATTTAATGTCTGCACCATTCTGTGAAAACAGTATCACATGCTAAATATTTTCACTGACAACCTGCAGCACATGAAACACTTCTGTGCTACGGCGTGACGTTCGCACTGTGATAACTGCCGGTGATGCTCCAGCGCTGCAGCAGAAAATACCACACAGATCATAAAGAGCTCGTTGTAGTGGAAACGTTGATGTTTGATTCAGAGCTGTGAATACATGTGGTGAAAGATGTGGTTAGAGTAGATCATGTGATATCTGACAGAGACTGTGAAGTTGACCTGACTGTGGCCAAACACCGACATCGAACACATCATTACAGTTTGTTAACCAGCGTGTTATGAATGAGATGTTCGATTTTATCTCAACACAGAGTTTCAGTTATTTAAGATATCATGGTTTATTTCTACGAATCACTGACTACGTGTAATAATTTACTGTTATTCTGAATACAACAATATTCTGGATTTGAGTCAACAGCTTCTTCTGTTGAAATATTCTGAATTACACCTTCTTCTGAATTTAACATTTTTTAATAAGCCGCTGGTTTATTTGTGTATTTGGTTATTTGTGTTTCTGTTATTTTGGTTTTCGAAGCATAATTTGGATGTGTATGTAGCCAGGGACTGAAATTAAATGTTTGTTAGTGTTTGTTAATGTTTGTTTGTGTTTGTTAGCCATGTAAAAAAGAAACTATGCTGAGAGTACCTACTGCATTTTTAGGTGCACACTGCTCCTCTGCTGCTCCTCTGCTTCCTGCCTGCCAACCTGTCCATCTGTCTGTCGGAGGAGCAGAGGAGGCGTCACAAACACAAAAACACACACACACACACAGAAGCAGATGTGTTTTTACTTTTCTGTCCGTGAACCTGACCGTCTGGAGCGCACCTCCTCTGCTCCTCCTCTGCTGTCTGTCTGTCCCTGAACCTGACAGTCTGGAGCGCACCTCCTCTGCTCATCTGCTGTCTGTCTGTCCCTGAACCTGACAGTCTGGAGCGCACCTCCTCTGCTCCTCCTCTGCTCGTCTGCTGTCTGTCTGTCCCTGAACCTGACAGTCTGGAGCGCACCTCCTCTGCTCCTCCTCTGCTCGTCTGCTGTCTGTCTGTCCCTGAACCTGACAGTCTGGAGCGCACCTCCTCTGCTCCTCCTCTGCTCGTCTGCTGTCTGTCTGTCCCTGAACCTGACAGTCTGGAGCACACCTCCTCTGCTCATCTGCTGTCTGTCTGTCCCTGAACCTGACAGTCTGGAGCACACCTCCTCTGCTCATCTGCTGTCTGTCTGTCCCTGAACCTGACAGTCTGGAGCGCACCTCCTCTGCTCCTCCTCTGCTCGTCTGCTGTCTGTCTGTCCCTGAACCTGACAGTCTGGAGCACACCTCCTCTGCTCATCTGCTGTCTGTCTGTCCCTGAACCTGACAGTCTGGAGCACACCTCCTCTGCTCATCTGCTGTCTGTCTGTCCCTGAACCTGACTGTCTGGAGCGCACCTCCTCTGCTCCTCCTCTGCTCCTCCTCTGCTGTCTGTCTGTCTGTCCCTGAACCTGACAGTCTGGAGTGCTCCTCCTCTGCTCCTCTGCTCCTCCTCTGCTGTCTGTCTGAAAGTGAACCTGACCGTCTGGAGCGCTCCTCGTTGGGCAGCACTGTCGAGCTGATCAGATAAACTATGATTCATAGGCTGATGAGGAGGCTGATGAGGAGGAGGTGGTTAGAATAAACAGAACCTCCTCTTTGGAGGAGGCCGGCGACCTCTGCTGAGTGAAGATACTGGTTCCATATGACACTAGGACACCAGGTCATGTTAGTGTCATGAGAAGGGGGTCACATAACGCTCCCAGGTTATGCCACATTTTGGTGAGAGGAAAACTGTCATGGCCATTTTCACAGAGGTCCGTTCACCTCTCACCTCCAGATACTTGAATGAAAATGAGCTCTGTGGGTACCCATAATGCTCCCCTTTACAGACACGCCCACTTTGTGCTTGTCTCTTGCAGTTTTCCTCACACAGTACACGTGTTATTCTCACCATATTTCTGCACACTGGGGTCTGTAACAGTCTTTGAGCTGCATAACTCAGGAATGACTTGAGTGCTGCGACTCAACAGGTCCGACTGTGCTCATGTGTCATGATGTCACCACCCACAGTGGTTGTTTCATTGTAGTGAGACCATTCTTAAAAACTTGACCTCACTGTATGAGATGACCTATTGTGACCTCTAGGTTAATCACAGCTCATGAACGGCAGCAGTCAGAGAATGATGTCATAGGTATATTAATAATAGCGAGGTTGTCAGTGGCAGATGTGAAAGAGGTCAAACAACAGTACAGGTCGGTATTGAACCTGTGCAGCTGTTTGCATTGTTTTCATAACTGAACCTGTGCAGGTGTCTGAAAATATTTTAACATTCCTCAGAAGCAGCGTACCACAAATTTTATGTACCACAGGTGTGTGCGTGACCTACCCTCAACCTCAAGTGTGTTGTTTCCTTTCACAGATTTTACACCTCCTCAAGTTACCAAAATGAAAAGCTTCTGTAACCATGAACATGCTCTGACCCTGAACATATCCTGTAAATGATTAAATCAAGACATGAGAATGTCACACTTGTGGAAAAACACCAGTGTTTTTGTGCCTGCTGCTAATGTGATGCAAACCTGATGTAACAGGGCAGTAACAGCCTCACGCAGCTCTGCCCTGGAGTTGAACCTGCGGTAGTTTTACAGGTTGGACACAAACAGGACGTCAGGACGCCCCCCCCCCCCCGAGGGATCAGAGCATTTACTCAGAAATTTACAGGCAGGGCTGAGCAGGCTGAGCGCTCTCTTGCGTAAGCAGTGTTCAGGAATGCTGGGACTCCTTCCAGTTTCAAAGCATTACGCAGCGTTTTGTCAGAGGTTTGTGCAGAGTGGACTCCTGAGGTCGGGGGAGGGTGGGAGACGGGGGAGGGGACGAGTCGAGAGAAGAAGAGACAGACACAAGTTTAAAATATTAGGGAACATGAAGTTGGTTTTAAGAGGACAGAAAAGTGTTTGTGCTGAGTGTTGCTGTATTTTAAATCTGGACACTTTCAGTAAGTTGTTGACTGTTTGTTTCTGACTGTTGAAACTCTGGTTCGTCTCTGACTGTTGTTTCTCTGTGTCCTTTCAGACATGGACCAGCGGTGGACACTGGGAAGCTTTCTGTTTGTCCTCGGGCTGTGTTCAGGACTTAAACAGGGTGAGCTGAGTCTCTCTATAAAAACTACTGACACTTTCAAGGTCAAGGTCACTGCATCGATAACATATTTATACTTATCTGTTTATATCTTTACACTGTGCTTTTATTTCATCATGTTTATTACATGTCAAATGTTTTTACCAAGTCTAACGTCCGTCTCCTGTCTGTACAGAAGGCTTTTATCGCCCTCTTCTGGACACTGCTGTGACTGCAGGGACTTGTGTCTCTGTCAGTGTCTCTGTCCGTCCTCAGTGTCTCTGTCAGTGTCTCTGTCCGTCCTCAGTGTCTCTGTCCGTCCTCAGTTTCTCTGTCAGTCCTCAGTGTCTCTGTCCGTCCTCAGTGTCTCTGTCAGTGTCTCTGTCCGTCCTCAGTGTCTCTGTCAGTCCTCAGTGTCTCTGTCCGTCCTCAGTGTCTCTGTCAGTGTCTCTGTCTGTCCTCAGTGTCTCTGTCCATCCTCAGTGTCTCTGTCTGTCCTCAGTGTCTTTGTCCATCCTCAGTGTCTTTGTCAGTGTCTCTGTCTGTCCTCAGTGTCTCTGTCCATCCTCAGTGTCTCTGTCAGTGTCTCTGTCCATCCTCAGCATCTCTCTCCGTCCTCAGTGTCTCTGTCAGTGTCTCTGTCCGTCCTCAGTGTCTCTGTCAGTATCTCTGACCGTGTGTGTTTGTAGCCTGACAGTGGACAGTTGGGCTACAAACACATCATTCCTAATAAGATGCATTAAATGCTTCAATTAAATTAATACATTTAATAAACTGAATGTATAAATTAATAAATTAAGATTCTGTGATTATAACTTGACCAACCTACAGAGTTTAACTCTTAATGATGGCTCAAGGATTTATTTATTTTATAACTGTACATTTTTAATTAGGTTTTATTTGTTTATATATTTTATGACAACAAAGTGTCAGAGAGCAAAGTATTGAACTAATCAACAGCATCACCATTTTGGACCGGTCAATATATCGATATTATATCAATACTGTGATATGAGACGAGACGTGATATCGAAGTGTTGTCTTCTCGTGGTTTTTAAGGCTGGGTTACAGTGAAGTGATGTCATTTTCTGAACTTATCAGACTGTAGCTGCAGATGGGAAGAAATTCATTGTAACATGTCACAGGAGTCTGTTTCTGATTGGCTGCAGGTATCCTCTGGCTCCACTTCACCACTAAAAGTTAAATCCTCCCCAGCTTTTAGTTTTCTTGTCCGCAGAATCAAACAGCCACAGCTCGGACCAGCTGCTGCAGATTTTCAGAGCCATTGTGTGGCAGCTCGCCACAGGTCACACTTATCTGACGCTTGGTGTGTTTTTGGTGTTCCAGACTAAACTGTCTCTACATTTACATTATATATGATGGTGCACCAAGTTTGTTGCAGATGCAGATTTACTATGTTCTGATGACATGGAAGTAAGAATATCTGAGAGAGCAAATATAAAGAGTACACACATGTCAAGACGACAAACCTTTTCTTGATTCACTTTAAAGTTTGGTAACGCACACTGAGTTTGTTGTGATGAGATGTGCTACATGAATAAATGTGCTCATCTTGCTGGAAAAAAAACAAAAAAATCTGACATCAACAGGTTTGTTGGGAGCTCTGTCAGCACTGACTGGATGAATAAATGATGAACCCACTCTCCACTGATGTGTGTGTTACAGAGAACTGTACCAACTTCAATCTCCAGTTTGAGAGGGTCTTCTCTGTTCCTGGAGACGTGGCTATGTTGAACAGCACCCTGGTGTCTTCAGACGTCTTCAACTTCACGTCTGTCCCGTACAACATTTCCTGGTATGACTCAAAGACAGGCCGAGAAATGACCAACCAGACCGGCCGAATCCTGGTGCTCGGGATGACTTTGTGGTTTCTTAACTTAAGGCTGGACGACGACGGAGAATATGTGAGCATACTGAGGTACGGTAGCATCAGTTAAAGTATAAATGTGGGGGCGTCGGTAGCTTAGTGCTGGCGCCCCATGTATAGAGGTGATGCCTCGCTGTAGTTGAGTAGGTGTGAGTTAGACTCTGGCTTGCAACCCTTTGCTTCATGTCGTCTCTCTGTCTTCCCATTTCACACTGTCCTGTATATTAAAAAAGGCAAAAAGTATAAAAATCAATAGGGGGTTTGTGTGTCTGTCTTCACTGTAGGAATTACTGACCACTATTGAAAAAGTAGCACCTACTCTTTGGTTCATTTCGACACCTTACGTTTACTCAAAGAAAACAAACAAACAAACAGGCTGAAGATGTTCGGGCTGGTAAACACGCTCTTTGTGGTGTTTTAATTAACGTGTTGTTTATGATGCATCATGTTTGAGATACTGTAAATGGGAGGGGTGTAAATACTTGTTTCATAATAATGCGATATCACATTGATTCTTCGGACAATGATACGATATCTGCCGATATCACAAAATCTGCCACCATACGATTTGGGTACGATGTGATTCAGGGACCTGCAATCAATGAGCCGATATCATTTAACACAGTCTGTCACAGAAGGAGCTGCTGCAGCTTTATGTTTTACTTTAGGTCATAAAAGATAAACACAACAGCACATAAATAATAAGAGCAGCAAAGTTTCCTTTAAACTGACTCCACTAACACACAGGAAACAGCACATGGGTTCAGTTAACCTTCAGGGCTTTCTGTCAGAGAGATCTTTCTGTCAGAGATCTTTCTGTCAGAGAGACCCTTCTGTCAGACAGATCTTTCTGTCAGAGAGACCCTTCTGTCAGACAGATCTTTCTGTCAGAGAGACCTTCCTGTCAGAGAGATCTTTCTGTCAGAGAGACTTTTCTGTCAGAGACCTTTCTGTCAGAGAGATCTTTCTGTCAGGAAGACCCTTCTGTCAGAGAGATCTTTCTGTCAGAGAGACCTTTCTGTCAGAGACCTTTCTGTCAGAGAGATCTTTCTGTCAGAGAGACCCTTCTGTCAGAGAGACTTTCCTGTCAGAGAGATCTTTCTGTCAGGAGGACCGTTCCGTCAGAGAGACCCTTCTGTCAGAGATCTTTCTGTCAGAGAGATCTTTCTGTCAGGAAGACCTTTCTGTCAGAGAGACCTTTCTGTCAGAGACCTTTCTGTCAGAGAGACCTTTCTGTCAGAGAGATCTTTCTGTCAGAGATCTTTCTGTCAGAGAGACCCTTCTGTCAGACAGATCTTTCTGTCAGAGAGACCTTCCTGTCAGAGAGATCTTTCTGTCAGAGAGACTTTTCTGTCAGAGACCTTTCTGTCAGAGAGATCTTTCTGTCAGGAAGACCCTTCTGTCAGAGAGATCTTTCTGTCAGAGAGACCTTTCTGTCAGAGACCTTTCTGTCAGAGAGATCTTTCTGTCAGAGAGACCCTTCTGTCAGAGAGACTTTCCTGTCAGAGAGATCTTTCTGTCAGGAGGACCGTTCCGTCAGAGAGACCCTTCTGTCAGAGATCTTTCTGTCAGAGAGATCTTTCTGTCAGGAAGACCTTTCTGTCAGAGAGACCTTTCTGTCAGAGACCTTTCTGTCAGAGAGACCTTTCTGTCAGAGAGATCTTTCTGTCAGAGATCTTTCTGTCAGAGAGACCCTTCTGTCAGACAGATCTTTCTGTCAGAGAGACCTTCCTGTCAGAGAGATCTTTCTGTCAGAGAGACTTTTCTGTCAGAGACCTTTCTGTCAGAGAGATCTTTCTGTCAGGAAGACCCTTCTGTCAGAGAGATCTTTCTGTCAGAGAGACCTTTCTGTCAGAGACCTTTCTGTCAGAGAGATCTTTCTGTCAGAGAGACCCTTCTGTCAGAGAGACTTTCCTGTCAGAGAGATCTTTCTGTCAGGAGGACCGTTCCGTCAGAGAGACCCTTCTGTCAGAGATCTTTCTGTCAGAGAGATCTTTCTGTCAGGAAGACCTTTCTGTCAGAGAGACCTTTCTGTCAGAGACCTTTCTGTCAGAGAGACCTTTCTGTCAGAGAGATCTTTCTGTCAGAGATCTTTCTGTCAGAGAGACCCTTCTGTCAGACAGATCTTTCTGTCAGAGAGACCTTCCTGTCAGAGAGATCTTTCTGTCAGAGAGACTTTTCTGTCAGAGACCTTTCTGTCAGAGAGATCTTTCTGTCAGGAAGACCCTTCTGTCAGAGAGATCTTTCTGTCAGAGAGACCTTTCTGTCAGAGACCTTTCTGTCAGAGAGATCTTTCTGTCAGAGAGACCCTTCTGTCAGAGAGACTTTCCTGTCAGAGAGATCTTTCTGTCAGGAGGACCGTTCCGTCAGAGAGACCCTTCTGTCAGAGATCTTTCTGTCAGAGAGATCTTTCTGTCAGGAAGACCTTTCTGTCAGAGAGACCTTTCTGTCAGAGACCTTTCTGTCAGAGAGACCTTTCTGTCAGAGAGATCTTTCTGTCAGAGATCTTTCTGTCAGAGAGACCCTTCTGTCAGACAGATCTTTCTGTCAGAGAGACCTTCCTGTCAGAGAGATCTTTCTGTCAGAGAGACTTTTCTGTCAGAGACCTTTCTGTCAGAGAGATCTTTCTGTCAGGAAGACCCTTCTGTCAGAGAGATCTTTCTGTCAGAGAGACCTTTCTGTCAGAGACCTTTCTGTCAGAGAGATCTTTCTGTCAGAGAGACCCTTCTGTCAGAGAGACTTTCCTGTCAGAGAGATCTTTCTGTCAGGAGGACCGTTCCGTCAGAGAGACCCTTCTGTCAGAGATCTTTCTGTCAGAGAGATCTTTCTGTCAGGAAGACCTTTCTGTCAGAGAGACCTTTCTGTCAGAGACCTTTCTGTCAGAGAGACCTTTCTGTCAGAGAGATCTTTCTGTCAGAGATCTTTCTGTCAGAGAGACCCTTCTGTCAGACAGATCTTTCTGTCAGAGAGACCTTCCTGTCAGAGAGATCTTTCTGTCAGAGAGACTTTTCTGTCAGAGACCTTTCTGTCAGAGAGATCTTTCTGTCAGGAAGACCCTTCTGTCAGAGAGATCTTTCTGTCAGAGAGACCTTTCTGTCAGAGACCTTTCTGTCAGAGAGATCTTTCTGTCAGAGAGACCCTTCTGTCAGAGAGACTTTCCTGTCAGAGAGATCTTTCTGTCAGGAGGACCGTTCCGTCAGAGAGACCCTTCTGTCAGAGATCTTTCTGTCAGAGAGATCTTTCTGTCAGGAAGACCTTTCTGTCAGAGAGACCTTTCTGTCAGAGACCTTTCTGTCAGAGAGACCTTTCTGTCAGAGAGATCTTTCTGTCAGAGATCTTTCTGTCAGAGAGACCCTTCTGTCAGACAGATCTTTCTGTCAGAGAGACCTTCCTGTCAGAGAGATCTTTCTGTCAGAGAGACTTTTCTGTCAGAGACCTTTCTGTCAGAGAGATCTTTCTGTCAGGAAGACCCTTCTGTCAGAGAGATCTTTCTGTCAGAGAGACCTTTCTGTCAGAGACCTTTCTGTCAGAGAGATCTTTCTGTCAGAGAGACCCTTCTGTCAGAGAGACTTTCCTGTCAGAGAGATCTTTCTGTCAGGAGGACCGTTCCGTCAGAGAGACCCTTCTGTCAGAGATCTTTCTGTCAGAGAGATCTTTCTGTCAGGAAGACCTTTCTGTCAGAGAGACCTTTCTGTCAGAGACCTTTCTGTCAGAGAGACCTTTCTGTCAGAGAGATCTTTCTGTCAGAGATCTTTCTGTCAGAGAGACCCTTCTGTCAGACAGATCTTTCTGTCAGAGAGACCTTCCTGTCAGAGAGATCTTTCTGTCAGAGAGACTTTTCTGTCAGAGACCTTTCTGTCAGAGAGATCTTTCTGTCAGGAAGACCCTTCTGTCAGAGAGATCTTTCTGTCAGAGAGACCTTTCTGTCAGAGACCTTTCTGTCAGAGAGATCTTTCTGTCAGAGAGACCCTTCTGTCAGAGAGACTTTCCTGTCAGAGAGATCTTTCTGTCAGGAGGACCGTTCCGTCAGAGAGACCCTTCTGTCAGAGATCTTTCTGTCAGAGAGATCTTTCTGTCAGGAAGACCTTTCTGTCAGAGAGACCTTTCTGTCAGAGACCTTTCTGTCAGAGAGACCTTTCTGTCAGAGAGATCTTTCTGTCAGAGATCTTTCTGTCAGAGAGACCCTTCTGTCAGACAGATCTTTCTGTCAGAGAGACCTTCCTGTCAGAGAGATCTTTCTGTCAGAGAGACTTTTCTGTCAGAGACCTTTCTGTCAGAGAGATCTTTCTGTCAGGAAGACCCTTCTGTCAGAGAGATCTTTCTGTCAGAGAGACCTTTCTGTCAGAGACCTTTCTGTCAGAGAGATCTTTCTGTCAGAGAGACCCTTCTGTCAGAGAGACTTTCCTGTCAGAGAGATCTTTCTGTCAGGAGGACCGTTCCGTCAGAGAGACCCTTCTGTCAGAGATCTTTCTGTCAGAGAGATCTTTCTGTCAGGAAGACCTTTCTGTCAGAGAGACCTTTCTGTCAGAGACCTTTCTGTCAGAGAGACCTTTCTGTCAGAGAGATCTTTCTGTCAGAGATCTTTCTGTCAGAGAGACCCTTCTGTCAGACAGATCTTTCTGTCAGAGAGACCTTCCTGTCAGAGAGATCTTTCTGTCAGAGAGACTTTTCTGTCAGAGACCTTTCTGTCAGAGAGATCTTTCTGTCAGGAAGACCCTTCTGTCAGAGAGATCTTTCTGTCAGAGAGACCTTTCTGTCAGAGACCTTTCTGTCAGAGAGATCTTTCTGTCAGAGAGACCCTTCTGTCAGAGAGACTTTCCTGTCAGAGAGATCTTTCTGTCAGGAGGACCGTTCCGTCAGAGAGACCCTTCTGTCAGAGATCTTTCTGTCAGAGAGATCTTTCTGTCAGGAAGACCTTTCTGTCAGAGAGACCTTTCTGTCAGAGACCTTTCTGTCAGAGAGACCTTTCTGTCAGAGAGATCTTTCTGTCAGAGATCTTTCTGTCAGAGAGACCCTTCTGTCAGACAGATCTTTCTGTCAGAGAGACCTTCCTGTCAGAGAGATCTTTCTGTCAGAGAGACTTTTCTGTCAGAGACCTTTCTGTCAGAGAGATCTTTCTGTCAGGAAGACCCTTCTGTCAGAGAGATCTTTCTGTCAGAGAGACCTTTCTGTCAGAGACCTTTCTGTCAGAGAGATCTTTCTGTCAGAGAGACCCTTCTGTCAGAGAGACTTTCCTGTCAGAGAGATCTTTCTGTCAGGAGGACCGTTCCGTCAGAGAGACCCTTCTGTCAGAGATCTTTCTGTCAGAGAGATCTTTCTGTCAGGAAGACCTTTCTGTCAGAGAGACCTTTCTGTCAGAGACCTTTCTGTCAGAGAGACCTTTCTGTCGGGGAGACCTTTCTGTCAGAGAGATTTTTCTGTTGGGGAGACCTTTCTGTCAGAGATCTTTCTGTCAGAGAGACCTTTCTGTCAGAGAGACCTTTCTGTCAGAGATCTTTCTGTCGGGGAGACCTTTCTGTCAGAGAGACCTTTCTGGAATAAATCTTCTCACTTATCAGTCTTAAAGTCTCGAAGACAAACTTCTGTCTCAAAGCTATAGTTGGTAATGTTGGAGAGCTAGCAAGATTTGAAAGCGGCACCTCCTCTAAGCTCCACCCCCTCCTCCCCCTCCCGTCAGTGCTCTGTCCAAAGCCACGCCTCCACAAACTTGAACGCGCATCCTGCAGTAGGAGTCAGCAGAGCAGAGGAGAGCCGAGTAAAATAACAAATCCCCCTGAAGCAAACAAATAATTACCTGTCCAACAGAAAGACAGCAACCTCTGCATCACTTTTCAGGCCCTTCAGCTCCCTCAGTTGTCTCCACCTTTCAAAAGCTGCAATGTTGGTTGACTCTGATTTGTCCTCACGCTTTATCCAAAGCCTTTTTCGTTGCAGCCTTTTCTGCCTCCGACTTTCTTTTCTCAGCCTGTTTAGTGGGGCGAGCCGTTACAAGTAAAGCTGGAAGTGGTACTTTTGGCTGCATTTTCTCTGCCATTGTTCAGCAAACTCCTGCTAACTCTGTATTTCTGCTGAGCAGTGTGCTGAATATTTCTGGCAACAGTGACACATGAGGAGTGCACGCAGGGAGGAGGGAGGGAGGGACGGCGGGGGGCTCGGGCAGGACGAGACATGAAGGCATCTGATTGGTTCTTTCCATGTGCACCGCATGGCAGGGATTGGTCAGAGTTTTTACAGGCCTGCAGCTGCCACAGAGGTCGGATTTTTTTCGTTCCTTTTTCCTGAACACATTATGTATTAACTCCTCTCAGGATGAAGGACCATTTCACCCAGTATAACAAGAAGTGTTTCTGAACAGGATTACCAACTATAGCTTTAAAGTCCTGAAGACAAACTTCTGTCTTAAAGTCCTGAGGACAAACTTCTGTTTTAAAGTCCTGAAGACAAACGTCTGTCTTAAAGTCCTGAGGACAAACTTCTGTCTTAAAGTCCCGAAGACAAACTTCTGTCTTAAAGTCCTGAGGACAAACTTCTGTCTTAAAGTCCCGAAGACAAACTTCTGTCTTAATGTCCTGAAGACAAACTTCTGTATTAAAGTCCTGCTGTCTTATAGTCCCAAAGACAAACTTCTGTCTTAAAGTCCTGAGGACAAACGTCTGTCTTATAGTCCCAAAGACAAACTTCTGTCTTAAAGTCCTGAGGACAAACTTCTGTCTTAAAGTCCTGAAGACAAACTTCTGTCTTAATGTCCTGAAGACAAACTTCTGTCTTAAAGTCCTGAGGACAAATGTCTGTCTTAAAGTCCTGCAGACAAACTTCTGTCTTAAAGTCCTGAGGACAAACTTCTGTCTTAAAGTCCTGAGGATAAACTTCTGTCTTAAAGTCCTGAAGACAAACTTCTGTCTTAAAGTCCTGAGGACAAACGTCTCCAAACAGCCATAAATCAACATCATGTAACTGAAGTATTAAAGTCAGCTCAGTAAGAACTGTCCAGGTTCTCTGTGTCTTACCAATCACCCATTATGAGTTTAAGCACCTCTGCATAGTGAAATTTTCCTCTTCTAATGGATAAACAAATTATTATTATGCACTATCTTTTATTTACTCTCTGTTGGTTTAAGTGTCTGCGTCTTCAGACCGAACAGCTTGGTTGAAATTTGGCCTGAATGAATGAAGCTGAACGTTGCTGAAACAGCAGCTGATGTTGTTGTAGTGAGAGGTTAGTGGAGTGAGATACCGTCCAGACAGGTAACATTACGTCATGATTTGTCTCATAACGGCATTGTTTACATACGAGGTGTTTTCTCTCTGTTCACTTACAAATTATTTCCACTCTGCTGATTTATTCCTGAGTACATAACCTTATGCTCATCATCCTTTTCTTGGCTGCTGCTGTTTGACAGTGACACAGAATTTCAAAATAAAAGCATAACCTAAAGATGATGATATATAGATGTTGTTATTTGGCCTTGATGATATTGGATCGTTGATCATTAAATCGATACACTGATAAAGATCTATGGATCAGGTAAATGTCTATTCCATCTGTTTTAAATAAACCTTTAATGAGTGAAATGTTTGACTCTGTTGACTTGTTGTCCTCAACCTGAAAAAACGTTTTGTTTAACATGAACAATGAATCTCATCTTCAACAGAACTCCTTATTGGTGCTACAGACAGGCCACCAAGCTTGTGGTGGAACGACCCATCGCCAGAGAGTGTGGACGACCAAGAAAAGCTCGTCAGTCCCTTACAAAGGGAGTCACTGACATCCTGAGCTGCCCTCTGAAGGATTATATGAATAAACTTGACAGCTACAACATCAGCTCCTCCATCCAGTGGTACAAAGTGAGTTATGCACCTGTTGAGTCCTGCTGGGTCAGATCCATACAGATACTTCAGTGCAGCTCACACATCATACACTGGATCGACCATCTTCAGACACCATTTCAATGAGCTTTGTTTCTTTGTAAGGATTTTTTTGCAGTTGAAAACTTAGACTTTCTGTAAACTGGGGCCTTTTCTTTCTTTTTTCTGGCCAGCATGACGGCTATCACTGCTAATGCTAACTACTTTGTAGGCTTGGGTCACATCAAGGTATTAGGGTATACCTGGGTATTTAGAAATCCTGAAGGTTTGATTTTCAGTCAAAAACACACACACTCCTTTTTCTCTTTAACTGATGGAGAGATGTTGTACTGAGGTGATGTAGTTCACATTTAGCACCACCAGAGGTCAGTGTCTGCTGGTGAGACAGGCAGCTGAGTGACGGTGACTGCGAGTGGTGGCGATAACGTTACAGGACCAGTTAGAAAAGAAGTATGTCTCCGCCCCTGGTTGGGAGTGCAGTCACATACAAGTTTATCTTCAGATGACTTCTTCCAAAAGCGGCTGATTAGCCACATGACTCTTTTCAACACATCATGTCCGTTCAGCCCACTGATACGACAACACGTGTCATCGGCTCCTACAGCAAAAAGGACGTTTACATTGTGTGTTTTCTTTTTCCTCACTTAACCGTCATGCTGTATCCCGCCTCCATTGAAAGCGATTTACAAGGGGGAGGGAATTTGATTTTTTCCCTAACCAATCAGTAGAGATCAACGACTCACCCAGAATCTGACGTCATTAGTATCCATGCCTCGGGGGTGCCAAAAACAAGCGAGCATTGCACGTTTAAAATGTCTCCGTCGTCGTGCACGCCCAGCTGCATCGCTGTTAAATCCAGTTTAGCAGCTTCCTTAATTTGGTCCTCCATTAACGCGAGTAGTGGCAAAATACCTCGATAGCATCGTTAATGTGGTCTGTAGGATCTGTAGCGGTCGCCATTGTTGCTATCCTCACCAGTTACCCACCGGCGTACAGCTTGACATCAGCGTGGCGCTGATTGGCTAATCGCTAGACCCCCGGCGTTCATTGGTCCGTCCATTGTTTGGACGAGATAAATCGCAAATTCATTAAAGTTTGCCAGACCAGAGATGCAAGCCTACTCAGTTGAGTGGGCGGGGTCTATGGTCTGGAACCAGGCTATACCTTGACATGTTTCAGCGGAAACTTCCGCCTTCCTCAGAAGTTTCACTTGGTGGTGGTTGTGACGCGTCTTTATCAGCTGATCTGTCAATCAGCCGATATTAGGGAGGCGTGACCATCCTGTCTGTCACGCCACCTGGATCAGGGAGGCCATTGAAATAAGGAAGCGGGGTCCAGGGACAATGAACAGGGACGAGGGGGCATACATGCTGTCCCACAACTGGAGCAGCATCCTGGAGAGGCGGCGGACAGGACGGTCACGCCCCTCTAGTGTCGGTTGATTGACATCTCAGCTGATAAAGACGCGTCACAACCACCATCAAGTGACACTTCTGAGGAAGGCGGAAGTTTCCGCAGAAACATGTCAATGTATGTAACGCCCTAACATATCTGAGATAAAAGAACAACTAAAGTCATTGTCAAACAGTTGGCCTGAACTGGATTTAGCTACTCTCCAGATAAAGTGGGTGATCCGGTGGGCTTTAGACCACCCAGCTCTGCTTACCACACTGTTCCTTTGACCATGTGGCTGTCTACCATCAGGGATGTCAACGGATGACCGTTAATCTGTTAATTGCCGTGAATATAAAAATAAATGAATAATGACTAATATATGAATACTAAAATATTTCATCATCTCTAAATGGATGGTGCATTGAAGTGCAGCCCTAAAGCTCACTGAGGCAGCAGAGTGCCCGACTTAAAGGGAAAGGCCTCTTGTATTTCACAGCCTTTTTTGTTTCTTAAAAATTAACCAGTGAGTTACTGATCAATGGGTGTTGGCCTATCAAAAGCAAAATCTACTTTCTACCATCATGACAAATAAGTATTTTCTTTTCTTTCTTTTTTTTTTTTTTTACATGTCTTCACTTTCATGTGTCCTTTCCTCATCCAGGATTGTGAGCCCATAGTGGACGGGGTAGGCAGGTATACCTACATACATCCTGCCAGACTGAAGATTGCCAGAGTGGACCTTAAACACAACTCCTCCTACACCTGTACTCTGAACTTCACTCTGGGTGGTGTTATGGGATCTGTGTCAGAGACCATTGCTGCATGGGTATCAGGTTAGAGCGGAGATCACTACCTGAAACTTTATGCTGTTTGTTCACAATAGATTTATTTATTGGAACACACTTCACTTTTCCACATCACCAATAAAATCAGCAGACACTAGTGAGTAACACAAACATCACAGCAGGCTAAATACAAATAATGCCCATGAGCCTAAAATGCTTTAAATAACAGAGTCGGGGAGCTACTAACAGTATCATTAACAGTATATTTCTGTGATTAAATAAACACAACCTCTTGTCTGTCTTTTCAGAGATGTACACTTTGACCCCAGAAGTCCACGAACCAGCCAATGAAATAATCAAGAAACCAATGGGTGAGTCTGTGCCTACATCATATTCTGAGAAACATGTTATTTTGGAACTTAAAGTGTCCAAAGCTGACAAAGACCCATGTGTTTTGTCGACACTGCTGTAAATGTAAGTTGGGTACACTCCCGACCACTAGAGGGTGCATAGCACCCAGAGGTGTGTATATAAATTGGTATTTCCTGTTTGTCAAACAAATTTGACTTGACATAGATCTATTGCTGATCGAAACGTTGTCACTGAATAAACTGGGAGCCTTTTTTCATTTTTTTGTGACACCACTCTCAGCGTGAGTAAATGCATATTTTGAGTAAAATGCTTTGTAACGCAAATTTAAGCTGTGGGTCAAATTGAAGAATAAAATGATTGTTGCTTTGATAAATTTACAGCAGGGACATACCGATTTATTGGCCACGCATCAGTTTTGTTGATTATAATTTGTGTTACTGTTTGTGTTTAGGGTCAAATTTCAGCAAGCGATGCCGAGTGTTTGTACCGTGTGTCGGGAGTCCCTTCGTTGAGATCACCTGGTTGGTCAGAAACAAGTTAATTTATAGTACCAACCCCTCCGACCGCATCTACACAACAGAAGAACGGTCAGCACTCTTACCTTTCCTTTTTCTGTTTTCTTTTATCTCCGTCTTCTGGGATACAGCTTAAGTTTATATGCCTGTCTTCAAAATATCAAAGACATTAATCACGTTTCTGGGGATGTTTTCGTTTTCTTCATTATTACTTCCTGTGGAGCATGAATCCTTTTTAAACAATTATTTTAAGCAACCTTTTTTCTCCCAGCAGGCATGACAGAGGAAGAATACTAAGCTCGAACTGAACCGTAACATTTTATCATCTGTCTGTCCTCACCAGTATGTGGCGCCAGGATAAACCTAAAAAAGGTTTATGGTTGGAGCAGGTGCTGATAATTTCTGAGCTGAAGGAGAAGGACTTTGACACCAACTACACCTGTCGAGCATACAGTGCCAGGGGCTTTCCTGAAGGCTACTTTACTCTGCTACAAGAAGGTATATACACGGAGTAAGGGCAGGGACACATGCTTCAACTTTACTGCCTGGTAAATGTGACGTCGGGCACTGCCTGATACCCTTGTACCTACTCTCAGCAGAGCGCCGCTGCTGAATGCATGTAGGGAAAACCCTGGTTTCAGTCCTTGATTGTGATCTGCTGAGCTGCGTTTGAAGCTGTTGTAAAATAATCTATAAACACAGTTATGACTGCTTTACAGTTTCAGTATCACTGCACCAATTAGTCACCTATTATTAACGAGATCCCGTCTTGTTCATTGTCTCAATTAATAAGAGTAAAACTCTGAAACTGTCAGAGAGAAAGAAAATGAGCAGATTTCTCAAAATGTTGAATCATTAAATTCATACAGATTTTTTATAAACTGTCACATGAAATCAAAATCATTTGATCACATCTGATTTATATGATACTGGGTGCTCTCGATGATCAACTCAACGGTTCAGACGTCACGATTCACCTTTTCCTGCGTATAATAATTAAGGACGACTTCAGACCAGGCGTACAAACACTTTGACCTGCAGGTGATACGATGAGGAGGAGATTTAATAGACGTTAAGAGACAGGTGAAATAGTTTTTATGTTGTTTGCCTGTTTCACTGATTGTGTCATTATTTTTGCAGCGGTCTGTAAAATATCAATTAAAGGCTCATTTTGAAACTTAATTTCAAAATTATTAAGTTAAATTACAACATTTTATTTATGTTTGAGCATCTGTTAATGATAGTTAAATTTTACTGTAGAATCAGTTTCATCTGTGCCTCAGAACACTCTGACTCAATCATCCATCACCCCTCTGACATTTAATAATAATGATAAGGATGACTGAGATTTTACCACAGAAACATCAGTGATTTTCAGAATGCTTGGCACTCAGTTTTCTGGCGACCAACTTGTATGTTGATCCACTAATCTTCTCGGTTTTTAATCTGGCAGACAGACGACCAGCAGAGGGCGCAGGCGGACACGTTCCCTCCCCACGCCATTAAAACATGATCTGAACAGACTTCGACTCAAACTTTGGTGAAGAAAAAGTGTTCATAATAAAAAGTGCAGGTCTTTTGATGCCACTCTGCTCAGACACATCGTGACAAAGGAAAAATCACTGTAAAACAGCTTTTAAAAAAACAAAGTGAACAAAATTTTAAATCTTATTTTTTGTTTTAAAGAGTCGTATTATTGTTTACAACAGTAATGTTTTGGGGGTCCGTTCAGTGCTGATAAGATCCGATCCATGCAGAGGGTTAGACCCAGTTAGACCCAGTTCAAACCTAGTTAGATCCAGTTAGACCCAGTTAGACCCAGTTCAGACCCAGTTTAGACCCAGTTCAGACCCAGTTTAGACCCAGTTCAGATCGAGTTCAGATCCGGATGTTTTGAATGTGGTGGCCACCACAAATAAATGAATGTGTGTGAAACCCTGAAAAGATCAATATAAGGATAGAACAACTAATAAACATTAATTATAATTAAAGCTTTAAATTTATGGAAACTTCCTGCAGCAGTGTAAATGTTCTGAGGACTCTTGAGATTGTTGCACTTTAAGAACACACACACACACACACACACACACAAAAACCTTGGCGGGAAAATGGGACGAGTGGCGAGAGGACAGCACTGTGAGTCAGCAACAGGAGGCGGAGTTATGGTGGATGCACTGCAGCGGTGTGCATGTCAGCAGTGTCGCAGACAAGAGAAAGTGAAAAATGAGAATTGAAACATTTCAAATATTCAGAATCAGTGTATGTCGATAAATTAATATTCTGTGATGAGACCACGAACACCTCATTCATTCTTACTCCATCTTATAACGCTCATGTCCACGGCGGAGATCTTAAACTGATGTTCATCTCTACAGATCCTGACGTCATGCTTCCCGTTGGATCGGTGCTTGGTGGTGTGACGGTTCTCTTCATTACCAGTGTCGTCATCTACTACCTTTTTAAGGTGGACATCGTGCTGTGGTTCAGGAGAGCATTTCCAGTCCTCTATACTAACACAGGTAATTTTTCACAGCTAATTATTTCTATGTTCTTTAAATACACAACGATAATGTAAGCTCACAGTAAAATACACTCACCACACCCAGATGGAAACTCAGCTCTGCCCCGTACCTGACCGCATGTGTCAACAGTACGAGCAAACAAAGGAAACAAATTAACCACAGAGCTGCCTGCAGTATTTCTCATGAAATGTCATCTGCTGGTTTCTTATGCAACAGATGAACGTTTCACTGCTGTGCGCTGACATTTAGTTTGAAGCCTGTTGGTGTAAAATGACGTTTGTGTGTGACATGACAGGGATCTTCTCCATGTAAGAATGAAGTCATGTGTGCAGACTGAAGCACTGAAAATATCTGTAAGGACCTTTCTGTTTGTTTTCTGTGTCAGATTTGGATGGGAAGTTGTACGATGCCTATGTGGCATACCCACAGTCCTGTGCTATCGGGCTCAGTAAGGAAGTGGAGGTGTTCGCCCTTCACACACTACCTCAAGTGTTGGAAAAGGCCTGCGGTTACAAACTCTTCATCGCAGGCCGTGACTGTGTTCCCGGGGGGGGTGAGTCACCAACAAAACTCTGCTCTGATAAAATGTGATTTAAAAAAAACTTTCAACCTTCAGAGTTTTAATGAAAAGTTGAAGCAGAGGAACTTTTTTTTTAGCTCATCACATCACTCAGTCACAACCCAGTGAAAGTCAACATGTATCAAACATGTTATTTGTCACATGGTCACTGAAGGTAGTGCTGGTTAATGCTGAATGTAGCGCCACATTTGGACAGAACGAGATGTCACAGGTTAAATAACTGTTTATTAATTTATGAGTGACACAGTGTCACATGCTCATATTTCCATTAGAAAAGTGACTTTTGAGTCTTTATCTATGTTACAGGCTATTATGTCTGCAGGCCGTCACCTGTGGTACTTTTGTTTAGTTTATCAATATAGATAAAATAAACAACATGAGACACAGCTTTGATTTTTACTTCTCAGACTGCAGACGGACTTACTTATTAGAGGTTTTTAAAATATTTGAAGCTTCTGTTGTTGAATTAAACTTTGAACTTCTTTGTCAAATTTTATGACATCATCACCCTAAAAAACAACCCTTGATCAAAATCCTCAGTTTCAATAAAGTAAATTCTGATTACTAATGAAAGTGAGCAGGGGTGAAAATCCCATTTCATAGTTGGGGGGGGGACAATAAACAGTAAAATTTTAGAGAATAATTCCGGGGGGGGGGGGGACAAGGATGAAAAGTTGTAGCCTGTCGTTTATACAGCATCTTTTACTGCAATTTGACGCTTTAATCTTTTCTCTATCTCTCCAACAGGCAGGCATAGGACCTTTCTTAGCACTGGCTGAGTCCACCTGCACATGTCCAGATTTAAAACAAAATGATTGAAATCAAATTAACATGTACACATCGACAACAGTCAGGTGCGCCGTGCTGTTCAAGGTGCTAAGTGTGTCTGGAGCAGAGCAGGTCTCTGTCTCCCCGTGTGCAGTAGTGTGAATATTTATGCTATTAAGTAAACGGAGAAAACATGTCTCTCCTTCTTTCCCTCTTTTTGCTCTGGCTCAGGTGTGTGAAATGGATCTGTCGTCTCTGGCTGGCTGCAGGAGCAAACTGTTTTGTTTGTTTTTCGTTTTTTTTTTACCGGCAGTTAGATAAACATTTCCTGCAATTAAACTGGTGAACTGGTTTATAAACAGTGTGCTGTGAGATCTGCTGCTGCGCACCTCACAACCGTGCGTAATAATCGCCTGTAATGGCCTCTCCTCGTCAGTTAAACTGCACGTCTGTCATGTTTGTCTCACTGACAGGTGGAGAGCCTACACATATTAACTACGAGCCGCTCCGTCACTGACTGGTCTTGTCCTGTCCTCTCCCTCTTCTTTCTCTCCTGTCCTCTCTATCACTACACTCTGGCTTTTGAACAATGCAGGAGAATTGTTGCAGACAGTTTATATTATCAGCCTGGGCCTGGGGCTTGTTGTAACAGTAAATGGGATGTGTTGTAACTTGTGTAAGTTAAACTGTGTCTGTGTGAGTGAACATCTTACCCTGCGATGCGCGATGTGGACAGCCGGGTCCAGCCACACGCTGCTACTGCTGCCAAGCAGCCCTGCCCATTGGAAAGAGTGTGGGATATACCACTACTAGGAATGGGAGGGGGGGGACTAAATCTTTTAAGATTTAAATAGCACATTATTGCGCTTTTATAATGAGCACCGCTTACATTGTGCTTTTAATAAATACTACTGCATTGTTCAAAAATTATTAATTGTGTATCAAATTATTCTAGGGGGGGACAGCTTTACTGAAGGGGGGGTCATGTCCCCCCGTCCCCCCCAGGATTTCCGCCCCTGAAAGTGACAGCGTCCTGACAGCGTGCCGAGCGAACACAAATAACCTCCTTAAAATAATCTTTTTTTAATGATTTTGTTGTGGTTGTGTAAGTAGTGTTATAGTTTTAGGCTATATAAATGTAATTTACAGTGATGTTCGATTGCAGCTGGACCGACCGTTGATACAGGTGTGTCTCTGCTTGTCTACGGCAAGCAGGAGAGCAAACTTTATTTTTCCCAGCAGTGAAAGTTGTTTTTTAAAGGTTAACGCTGACAAATATAAATTGAAGCAGAATATTAGTTAGACAAAAACATACTGTAAATTTTGGAAATGATTACATCTACATGTTTTTAATATATTTGGCTTTTGTAAATGACAGAGCTCTGAAAGTGCTGGACATTTTTGAATGGAAACAATCCTACACAGACACCACTGGAGTCTAATTCTGCAAAGACTATAATACTAATAATATTAGTGAAGCCTTGTGTGAATAAATAAACAATACATAATTGTAGAGCTAACATCTGAATAACTAACAGGAAACTCCAGAGATCAAACTGGCTGATATATTAGGATCATGAAATACTGGTCTACATTGTCTGATCAGAGATCATACGTGTCGCTATGTTGGGGCTCATCGCTCACGTTTTTCACTGCGTGCCTTCGTCTTCTGTTTCCTCCTCAGCCATCGTGGACTCAGTGGAAGAGAACATACAAGCTAGTCGCCGCCTCCTCCTGCTCTACACCGCCTGCACTTTCACCACCAAAAGACACACAAGCAGCACCAGCAGTGGCAACAACAACAACAACATCTCAAAGAGCAGTGATAACGGTGACAACAGCGACAACAGCGACAGTAAAAACAGCGACCAGAGTTTAGACGGAGGTGAAGAAATCTATCCTGACGCCAGGCAGCAGCTGGAGTGTGTGGCGGCGATGCACAGAGTGCTGCTGGAGAAATCTCTAAAGGTGAGAAAACTTAATGAAGCTGTTAATTCTTACTCCACACATAAAGTCCAGTCACACCTGATTTACTGTGTCAGTCTACCCACAGCTGATAGTAAGGCCCATTAAGGCTCCACTGGTCAATATTTACATTACGCTTCGTGTCACTGAGCTGATCCCATTTCCTGCAGCGTCAGGCGGACGTTCACATCAAACAGACACCCAGCAGCAGAGTTTGGGTTTCTGCTGACACCTTAGACTCATATCCTGACTGACATTAGACCAAACTCTGTGTTTCCATTTTCAGTCTGACGTTTCTGTGAAGGTCGATTTCATCACTAGAGACGATTCTAACGTACTTTTAAGTCCAAACTCACAGCCATGCCAACGTACCTGTTTTACCAGGCTTTTAAGAGCTTGGCCGCGCAAAGTGAAAACGAACTACGATGTCAGGTGACCTGTCTTCTCTTTAGCACTCGCCATTGTTGTTACTGCGTCTCATTGGTTCCAATGTACCACTTAATCATGCTTGACAACAGTGTTAGTCACAACGTGCTGATTGGCTAATGGTGTTTCCTGCTACGTTCATTAGTCATCTTTTATTTTAACTGAGAAACTGATGTTTAATGTCTCGATGACAAAGCTGAAGTAGGAACATAGACAATGGAGGATGGTCAGAGGACGGACCTTCAGACAACTCCCCGCTGGATCCACAACCTTTCTGTTGCTGCATTTACGCAGATTAGACCCTGCCCACTGCGAACCCAGGCACTGTGGTTTGCGCTGAGTCTGAGGTGCCACGGCCGCTACTGTGAGCTCCATCTTCTGAGCTTCTGCCTATAAAATGCTTCACTGGAATAAAACTGAAAAAGTTATCGGTTTATATACCACTTTTCTATGTAGTGTTTGATGCTGCTGAAATAAGCAAGGGATCGCCTGATGTGATGTGTATTGTTTCTGGAAATATGTCTAATTATATCTGTAGAGGTGTATGATGTCACTTTGTCCCATGGTCAAGTGTTAAAAAATTAACAAACACTGCATTAAATCTTAATATCAAATCATAACTAATCAACACCAACGTATCAAATCTGTAAATAAGCATCTTGTCCGAGCCCGAGTCAGCACTGGCTAAAAATGAGTGGTTGCTCGATAAATGTCTCGTACGTTGATCTTTGCTTTGCAGATACAACAGGTTGTGGATTCACCTGTGAAGATCAGAGTTAATCTTCTCAGATCGCTCACAGCACACGACGTGTACCTGAGCATTACTGTGTTACAGGGAGAAAAACATTCACAGTGAATTAGTGATGATTTGATTAATGATTAAAAAAAGGCGTCTTGATTCTAGTTCGAGCTCTGTTTTACAGGTGATTCTGGTGGAGTTGGAAGAGATCACCCCGGCTCAGCTGGCTCTCTTCCCAGAGTCAGTGCGTCACCTGAGGAAGAAGCAGGGCGCCGTGTGTTGGTGGAAGAACCAGAGGATGAAGAAAACGTGGACAACATGCACGAGGAGTGGAGAGGATGAGGAGAAAGGTGGACAGGAGACGCAGCTGTCACCATCCCTTTCTCCTTCCTCCAGGTTTTGGAAGGAGATCAGATATCGTATGCCGGTGAGGGGCAAGAGGGCGGTGTACCCCGAAAAAACTGCCCTGCTGAACTTGTGAGGTTTTGGACCAGAGATCAGCTGGTTTCTAATGTAAATGTGTACAGTGATGAATCCTGTCGCACACAGATGATTCAGAAATACTGTGTCGTATCAGAGGCTGCATGGTACAAGAGAACCAGAAGGTACTTTTACTGCAAACGTCACCTCAACGGGTTACACAAACAGAAACTAAAGGAAGCTTCTAATCTTCAAGTCTGATAGTAAAAGGTCCATGAATACACCATGAACAGGTTCTGCTGAAGGAGTGCTGAAGATGCTGTGTTCAAAGACTGTCAGACAATGACAGTAATTCCCACCTGGTGTGCAGACCGTCACAGCGTTTGTGAATATGAACGACTGAAGAATCAGAACGATGTTGTCAAAGAAGGACCGATCAAACCAAGTGATCATATGTCAGATAACAATGTACATTTGTATAATGAAAAGTGTAAAAATGTTACAGAAAAACAGCAAACTGTGAGCTTTATATTAACTTTACAGTCTGGGACGGCGCTACACCGGGGCTAGGGGATGCTAAAGCCCCGTCAAAAATCTGTGTAGCCCCCGTTAAGCCCCTCAAGCATTTTATTTTATATTTTATAATATATATTTTTAAGTTAAAAAACATTAAAAATTTCACAAGTAGCCATTTTGTTCCAATGCAATCCTCGCTTGCATGTTTGTGCTGCGCCTGTACCCCATTGACTGGTGTACCATAACCTCTGTGTGTGTGTGTGTGTGTGTGTGTGTGTGTGTGTTTATATCGAACATGCTTGTGTTGTGTATCATAGCTGCTTTTATTGAAAAAACACGAACCTCCTTATAAAGTAAAGTAAAAGTAAAGTCATGAAAATCAATTATTTTCTTAGCACCCCCACATATCAGTCAAGCTCCCCCTTAGCCCCGGGAGAGAAAAAATCCTGGCACCGTGCCTGTTTACAGTGATTAAACTACAGATAAGGCACTGTAAGACAAACTGCCCCGTCACTACGTTTCTGCAAACCACAATTACATTACATGTTTCATATGCATCATATCCATGTCATTGGGAGGTGGAGGAAATGTCGAGATGTCGCTCCGTTCCTGTTGAGACAGTGCCATGAAAGGCTGTACTTCTAAACGGAGACATTACTGCGTTTCCTTCCGTGGTTGTGACATCAAAAATCGGGTCAGGTATAAATATGATAATTTCCTAAACATTTACCATGTGTGTTTTTTTTTTCAAACCACATGTAACCACAGTGCTGTTAAAATGTAAAGTTTTATTTGTGCAATGTCACGTATCCGTGGTTTGCCTAAACATAATGTCAACATTTATTCTGGTGATTGAGTTTATTAAAGATGTATTTATATTTTATAAAATGTTATTTATGAGGCATTTTTCATACAACGAGGCAGCACAAAGTGACAGGTTAAAATGTTCATATCATCGACTATGGGCAGCCACAGGAGAGAAACTGTTCTGTCAACAAATTAAAATCTTGTGTCAAAGGCTTCTTCACTTTTTACATTGTTTTGTCCTTTTGCATAAAAATAATTTACCATGTTTATCTGACCAATGTCATGTACTTCACATGTCTGCTGAACAGTTAACGGAGCATAATGGAAGGTTTGTTTTAACCTAATGTGGTCAAAATTTTTACCAGTTCATTTTGGAAATCCAAAGTAAGGCTGGGTGATATAACGGCCATGTGAGATGTATATCAATTTATTTTCAAGCAAGATATAAAATTAGACAGTTTATATCGATATAGGGTCAAGTTGTGTCAAATAATGCACCCCAGTGTGCACCTGTCCTCACAGCTCCGCCCCCTCACTCATTCATTTCTCCATCAACACTCACGGAGCTGCTCCTCTGTTAAATCTGTCTGTTCATTAGTCTACAGTCAATGTACAGCTCTGCTGTTTATTTTATATCATTTTTCATTTCCAAGTTGTGCAGCTGTTTATTTTCAAACAGGAAAAAAAATCCATGTCTTTGCATCTTATTTTGATCAGTCTGTTTTTATAAAAGTGCTTGTGACGTCTCAAATGTGGCTCTGACTTGCAGCTGAAAACATGGAGCTCATTTTGTACTAAATTCTGAGATATATATGGTGTATCGTCGTTCAGCCTGAAAATACAGAGATATAAATTTTTGTCCATATCTCCCAGCTCTAATCCAAAGACAGTGTTACATGAAGCCACGATGTCAGGCACTTACAAACAGGACCTTCACTGAAAACTGTCCCTGTCAGTGCATTTAAAGAGGTTTCATCAGTTCCCACATTGTGAGGTCATCAGTTCATATATTCTGCTTTCAGGAAGAAGCATATCTTTATGGAAGTATTTCAAAGGTCACAAATACAAAAATAATGTCAAACATATGTATAGGAAAATAAGTCTGTTGTACTGAGACAATATACAGCTGTCACTTTCATATGAGAAGCAGCTGAGGTTTGGTGGCCTATATTTCAACTAAAGCTCTACTGAGCTGTTATGAATCATAGCGATGTACCTGTATGCAAAACAAGTGGGTTTTTTTTCTGTTGAGAGGAAATTTCATGCAGGGTTAGAGGAAAAGGATGAAATGCTATGATAACAGGAGGGAAAACCCAGAAGCTACTCAGAAGGTTAGTGTGAGTAACAAGCAGCTGTCTTTAAGCATCAGCTCTCAGCCTGGTGAGTTATTATTACCTTCAACATTACAGGTAGAGTCTGTTCTTATATATGCATGCTGTCAGTGTTTGTGAAACGGGTGTCAAACTGACTGTCCTTTCTCATCTCTTATTATGTGAAAAAAATCTAATATTGAAAATATTTTTGTGCCATCTGGTGCTGAACACTGAATCTATATCCGACAGTTTTTAAATCCACTGGAATCATTAAATTGTTGTTATAAAGCTCCAACATTTATTAGATTAAAGCTGAGGTTTGTTTCAGGAGTTTTATTTTTGAGGGACTCAGAGTCTTCCTGTGTCTATGAATTAACGTTTTCAGTGACTTCACAATGCTTTGTGACTTTCCACTTAGGGCAAAAAAAAACCTGTCAAATAAAACACAAGGAAACCAAAAATAATTTATTGTTTTTTTCTCAGTAATTATATATGTACCTAAAAACACAGATCTTGTGTTAGCAGGTTTAAAGTGAATGTTAACGTTGGTTTGTTTGAAGAACATTCTGCTGCAGACAACTCTTTTCATTCTCTTTGATAGTTTTGGCAGCAGCTTTCTCTTTGCACTGTTTGGTATGACAGCGTCACCTCATCGCCGTAACTGCAGTTACAAAAGACAGATATCCATCAAGTGCAACCCTTGTTAGAAAATAATGTTTTCCAATATGATATGTCAGAGAACTTTCGAGAGCTGGAGGTGGGACAAAATTTGACAGAGACGGCCGTCTCCTAATTCTCTGTGCAGGAAAAACCCTGAGTTCCAAAGTTTTGACTCATCACTAATCGTTTAATCATCAGATTGTTGCTCTCTGAATCAAATCATATCGTAAGATGCCTGTTGATGCATACAAATGATCAAAGTTTCTTTTTATGAATCACAGAAAACCAAGAAAAGCAATTTATCTGATGCAGAAATCAAGGTACTTGTTGATGAGGTGGAGGTTAGAAAGCACATATTGTTTGGTGGCTGCGGCAGCCGGTCTGAAATTATAAAAAAGTGCAGCCCGCCATCTTTGACTATTTACATAATCCACGAGTGCAGGTGGTGAAGTTGTGCTGGGTAAGGTGACTGGAGGAGGCAGCCTCTCATTTCAACAGCCAATCACGAGTGTCAGTAGCGTACAGTCCATCAGCCTCCAAGGCTCAAGGATCTGATGGTGACACAGCCAATCACGAGTGTCAGTAGCGTCCAGTCCATCCCCCTCCAAGGCTCAAAGATCTGATGGTGACACAGCCGACCACGCGTGTCAGTAGTGTCCAGTCCATCCCCCTCCAAGGCTCAAGGATCTGATGGTGACACAGCCGACCACGCGTGTCAGTAGCGTCCAGTCCATCCCCCTCCAAGGCTCAAGGATCTGATGGTGACACGGCCGACCACGAGTGTCAGTAGTGTATAGTCCATCCCCCTCCGAGGGTCGAGGATCTGATGGTGACACGGCCGACCACGAGTGTCAGTAGCGTACAGTCCATCCCCCTCCGAGGGTCGAGGATCTGATGGTGACACGGCCGACCACGAGTATCAGTAGCGTACAGTCCATCCCCCTCCGAGGCTCAAGGATCTGATGGTGACACGGCCGACCATGAGTGTCAGTAGCGTACAGTCCATCCCCCTCCGAGGGTCGAGGATCTGATGGTGACACAGCTGTCCACGAGTGTCAGTAGCGTACAGTCCATCCCCACTGTATGTTTCTACACAGTATTATAAAGATACTAAACTGCAAATCCAGAACAAAAGTACTTTAACTCTATGGGCCCGAACGACGCATAGTGCATCCAAATTCACACCTGTTCTTCTCTACGGATTTTCTCTGCGACCATTCGTCATAGCAAGTCCAATGTTTTCACAGCGAAAAAAAAAGATAAAGTTACACTCAAAGATGTGTGTGCAAATCTTTCATACAGCTTTGCACACACATTACTCTTGGATGGATTACTCGTGAATGTAGGGTCGCACAGGAATGCCACACATATCACATGAAAGTGCAGGACCGGAGCTTTCCGATGATACCGAACACATTATTGTGCTGTGATCCCATCATGCTATAAATACAGATCAATTGTCTACAAAATAAAAACCTGACGAATTTCTTTACAATCCATTATACAGATCTTGTTATCAGTCACTTCATATAGTGAGGAATAATATTATTACTATCTTAGATGTAAATATTGCATGTTTCTGTCAGATAAAACACATTTTTGACTTGTGAATGAGTCAATGGAATTTCTTGCAATAATGAAAAAATACTGGCAATCATGTCCGCCTGGCACAAACCACATGTTTTGGACAACTGTGAAGTGACAGAATGTCCCAGCATCATGGTTCTTATATTGCCAGATTCCAGTCTCCCCTCTTCATATATGGCAGAAAATGTCTACTTCCAACTTGCTGTGGTGAGATACATGTAAAAATGTAAGAATTTAGTAACACTGATTTTTTTTCATTGATATAAAAATGAATATAAAATACAGGCACATAGAAGGACATGAAATGGCTGTAATATGAGCTTAAAAGTAAAGGCAGGAAAAATACCCCAAAAATGCCTAGGGTCCAAAGGTTTAATAAATTCAGCTGATTGTGTTTGTTAAAACAGAGAAACAGAGAGTGGACCTTTTCCCAACAAACATCAATCAGTGGAACTTCCTGGGACCTTACTGGGAGTGTTTGTTCCCTTCTTCCTATTGTCTGCTCTGTAAAGTGAACTTCCTGGGACTTTACTGGGAGTGTTCGGCCCTGCCTTCCTTGTGTCACTCTGTAAACGGAATGTCTCACTTCCCTTATTGGGGGTTGTTAAAGTCGGACGCCCGTCAGGAAATGTCTTAAGAGACCTTTGTTATTGCAGAAAATCATTGTGGCTGAGAACATGAGCCATGTCTGAGACATCACAGAGGACTATATTGAAATGTAACCTGTGTTTTCCCACAGACGAGGACAATGACAGCGGCAGGTTGTTTTGTCTTGATGGCTGCTCTGATGTCTCTGGGATTTACTGTGGGACACAGTGAGTATTGTGTTTTCTCTCTTTTTAATTCTTCTTGTCTTTACAGCTTAAAAAGATTCTGCTTTTAGAAATCACTTATAAAACTAGACAGGAAATGTATAACATGAAGCTGTTGTACAGTTGTTGATTTGAAATATTAGCTGACTCAAAGGTTTCAGTATTCTTCCTAAAAACAATGAATATGGTTTTTGTGGGCTGAAAAAAACAAAACAAAAACCTAACTACTGAACCTCTGTTGGGTAAAGACAGAATTACACATAGATGGCTGCCGTTAACCTGAGCAGCAGATAAGTATAAGGTATAAAGATATAAAGTTCATCAGACAGGGACAGATTTATATCTGAAATAATAAACTGAAAGTAACAGTTGTAACTTTCAGCTTTACTTCTCAGGGGTTTCCTCCAAAAGTGAGACGTCCAGAAAAGACAGCATATGCGCTCTATAACAGACCAAATAATTATTATATAAGATAAAAGATATCTCTTAAAGGTCCAGTTTATAGGATTGAGGAGCACCTAAATGGTAAATAATATTCATAACTATGTTTTTATTTATTCATAATAACTTGAAAGAGTCAGAATGAGTTATTTCTATTAAAAGCTGACTGATATTGTATTTTAAAAGGCCAATATAATTCTGATAGTTTGGAACAGGAAAAAGCCAGTGACCAATAACTGATGGGTGGTCGCTCCAGTGCTCACAGTACCTCAGCTCTGGACCAGCTGTCCTGGTTTGACCAAAAACTTCATGTGAATACATGTTAAAATTCAGAACATTACATTTATACAGACTCATGGAGCAGAAGGGATGCACTGATCATTTAACACAACCTCACGTCTTCAGCTCCAGAATGTGACATCATCACGTCACTGATGGAGGCTGCGCGGATTACTGTCAGAGCCAAGCTCTGCCCATAATGACAATTTATTAAACTACCTATTGGCGCAGATCGATCAGGCAAACCTGGTCCACCTTCAGTTTATGTCTACATACAGAGTGAATCCACCATGTCCTCCTATGGTAGCCCAGAACGGACAAACCACACACTGGCTCCAGAAAAGGCCACTGGCAGTTTCACGTAGGCTGCCATCGTTCTCAGTTTCAGTTCTGCCTTGAAACTCACGGCTAAATGCCACTAAAACCCCAAACCCTGTGAACAGTGGATTCTAAACTCTGACCCAAGCTCTGACCCAAACTCTGACCCAAGCTCTAACCCAAACCCACCATATCAACACATCACCTTTGTTTTTAATTCATTAATGAACTGAGCTAATTAGCATATTTAGTCATCTGGCTGGTGCTGGTGTCCGACCCCGAACACACTGAACCTTCGTGAATTAAAAACAATAACATAAATCAGCCCATCAACAACACAAACAAATAAATGAATCTGATTAACAGAATCAAAGATGGTCTCCGTCTGTCTGTATTTTTTTCTCACCCAATGTCTCTCCATCGTCCAGAGACAAACATGTTTTACTAGTTAATGTACCAGTGCTGTGACCTGTCTTCTCCTTCCGTTTGTTCTCTGAGAGCAGGTCATGTCATAATCACACCATGGACATGTTTAATGGACATCTTTCATGGACATGTTTGATTTCTAACAAACAATATATACAACATGTCCTTCGTTAGTTTCCCACAGTCTCTGCTGTGCCCTGTCCACTCACATGCAGAGGTACAGATAAAGTTCAGCATGTCTCAACAGATAAGACAACCCCCCCCCCCGACAGTGTAAAGGTCAGACATAGCCGGGCGTCGTTCAGACTCATAACATCAAAGAGTTTTAACAGTCGTCTGTGAGGTCAGCAGGTTTCTGACTCCTCAGTTCATTAAACAGGTCGAACACATAATGTCTTCAGGAAGTCTCTGACAGGAAACACGTCACAGTGCTGCATCACACAGGAAGTGGTTCTCTCAGTACAAACAACCTTTGTGTCAAGACTTTGGTCACTTGGTAAAATTATTGGGACTAAATTATGTTTACTGATAAGAAATGTAAATAATTTATTGAGCTGCTGCAGCCACTCTCTTCCTTTAACAGAGATACCTGCCATGTAAATTGTTTGGTTAAAACATTCATTTTGTTGTGTTGTATGCCTGAGACCCTTTAAGGGGTTAATAGTGGTTGCATACGTAAGTATTCTTGTTTTCACAGTGACGGCTCATTGTATTAAGACCTTCGGCAGGAGCACACAGCCCGTTGGTTTATGACCTGTGGTGATTTTGTTATCAAAATAAAGAAGACAAAAAGAAAAAACACGAGTTATAACTTTGTGTGCTGCCTGTCGAGCCTTTTCGGAGGGCTAAAATTTAAAAAGATCCGAACACTTTGTATTCAACGGTTCAGTTTTAACAAGAGCTGAGAGGTGACCCATGAACTCTGACACCTAAACCCTGACCCCTAAACCCTGACCCCTAAACCCTAACCCTTACCCCTAAACCCTGACCCTCTCCGCTCTTCTTTTTATCTCCAACATGAAAATAAGATTCACATTATTTCAGCTCCAACAGCCGGGTCAGTGACAACAACTCTGCTCAGGGGTGAAAATCCCATTTCATAGTTGGGGGGGACAATAAACAGTAAAATTTTACAGAATAATTTCAGGGGGGGACAAGGAAAAAAAGTTGTAGCCTGTCTTTTATACAGCATCTTTTACCGCAATTTGACTGCTAAGTCTTCTCTCTATCTCTCCAACAAGCAGAGTGAATGTCTATACTTATGAGAAATGGCTTAACAACTAAACATTTCCTGCAATTAAACTGGTAAACTGGTTTATAAACAGTGTGCTGTGAGATCTGCCGCTGCGCACCTCACAACCGTGCGTAACAGTCACACGTAATGACCGCACCTCGTCTGCATGTCTTTGATGTTTGTCTCACTGACAGGAGGAGAGCCTACACACAGGTACCCATACGAGCCGCTCTGCCACAACCGTGCGTAATAGTCGCGCGTAATGACCGCTCCTCGTTGGTTAGACTGCTGCACGTCTTTCATGTTTGTCTCACTGACAGGTTGAGAGCCTACAGACAGGAACCCATTAGCTATGCTCCGTCAAAACCGTGCGTAATAGTCGCACGTAATGACCACTCCTCATCTGTTAGACTGCACGTCTTTCATGTCTCACTGACAGGTGGAGAGCCTATAGACAGGTACCCATTAGCTACGAGCCGCTCTGCCACTGACTGCTCTTGTCCTGTCCTCTCCCTCTTCTTTCTCTCCTGTCCTCTCTATCACTAAACTCTGAGCTTAATCATTAGCTTTTAGCTTAGCAGCACTCGTAATTGAGTAGGCTTTTGAACAATGCAGGAGAAATGTTGCAGACAGTTTATATCATCAGCCTGGGCCTGGGGCTTGTTGTAACAGTAAATGGGATGTGTTGTAACTTGTGTAAGTTAAACTGTGTCTGTGTGAGTGAGCATCTTACCCTGCGATGCGCGATGTGGACAGCCGGGTCCAGCCACTGCTGCCAAGCAGCCCTGCCCATTGGAAAGAGTGTGGGATATAGGCCTACCACTACTAGGAATGGGAGGGGGGAACTAAATCTTAAGACTTAGATAGCACATTATTGCGCTTTTATAATGAGCACCACTTACATTGTGCTTTCAATAAATACTACTGCATTGTTCAAAAATTATTAATTGTGTATCAAATTATTCTAGGGGGGACAGCTTTACTGAAGGGGGAGTCATGTCCCCCCTGTCCCCCCCGGGATTTCCGCCCCTGACTCTGCTGCTTCAGTTCTCAGTGATGTCCTCACAACATGTCCTTACTATATGTCCCCAGAATGTGTCCTCACAGTCTCTGAGTCTCTGTGTCGTTGTGTCCATTGGTTCTTTAACCCGCCATCTGAGATCTGGGTCACACTGTGTTCAAGTGAGTCTGTAAATCGGAGAATCCGATTGTTGAATCCAGTTCCGTTTACTAGTTGTAAATAATATAATTATTAAATGTGGTAGATGTATGACAGCTGTGAAATGTAAGAATCACAAAAATACCCAGGATGCAGTTTGTGTTTTTTTTTTATTTAAAGGAGGCAGGTTGATCTTCCCATTAAGCCGATTTGTTGTGAATGCAGCATTAGTAACAGCAGTGTGCAGCAGGGCCACCGTGCGGGAGTCAGAATAACAACAGTGTGCAGCAGGGCCACCGTGTGGCGGTCAGAATAACAACAGTGTGCAGCAGGGCCACCGTGTGGCGGTCAGAGTAACAGCAGTGTGCAGCAGGGCCACCGTGCGGGGGTCAGAGTAACAGCATGTCCCTCTTATAAAGAATTAAAATAATCATAATAATCTTTATTAATTAAAAAGGCTACAGTACCTCTAAAAAACCCAACAAGAACCTTTTATTTGTCTTTTGTAAGTAATTCGTTATTTAAAAAATTATCTTGAGGCAATATCGACCAAGTGAAACTTTTATGTGAATAAATGTTTCCAGTCATTTTGAGAGTAAGGCAGTTTGATCCCTTGTTTTCTGCCTTCACTGGATGGTTTTGTTTTTTAACATTACACTTCTTCTGTTTGTTGTGATTCATTTTCAAATAATAAACAAACAAACAAATAAACAGATGGTCCACCCGAGGGCTGGATATAAACTCTGCTGTTGAATCCAGGTGTCGCCGTCAACTTTAAGTTAAAAAGTGAATACACCTGATTTCTGAAATCATAAGTACTTGGGAGGTGTGCTGAAGTGAAACAGCAGAAATGTGTTTTATTTATTTTTTAAATTTTCAGTTAATGTAGCTGATTATTCATGAAAAAATGTCCGGCAGTTTATTTCATGTTGTCAACTTTTTGCCAGTGCTTTTTTGAAAAGCAGAAAATCATAAACATATGGAAGCAGCATGTGTGTCAGTGTATGAAAGCAGTCAGAGAGTGTACCTCCACTAATGCTAATAATCCTAATGAATGCGGCACGGTGGTGTGGTGGTTAGCACTGTCGCCTTGCAACAAGAGGGTTCCTGTTTGCATGTTCTCCCCGTGTTAGTGTGGGTTTTCTGCAGGTGCTCCAGCTTCCCCCCCCACAGTCCAAAGACATGCAGATTGGGGATGGATTAATTGGTGACTCTAAATTGTCCATAGGTATGAATGGTTGTTTGTCTCTATGTGTCAGCCCTGCGATAGTCTGACGACCTGTCCAGGGTGAACCCTGCCTCTTACCCAATGTCAGCTGGGATAGGCTCCAGCCCCCCGCGACCCTCAAGAGGGTGAAGCGGTTAGAAGATGAATGAATGGAAATCATTTTTTCTCCTTATTCAGATGGACATTTGTTTGATTTGACTCAAGTTCTGATTTTATATTTTTGTGTTTCAGATTCAAATGTGTGTGCGTGTGTGTGTTTGCTCTTCACCTCGTGTTTAACTGCAGTTTGAGTTTTGGAAAATAAACCTTTGTGTGTAAAGAGAGTTTCAGTGGCTGATGCTTAATAAAATGGTCTCACTACAATGAAACGACCACTGTGGGGTCTGGTGTCATCACACATGAATAAACTTCAACTCATTCAATCTGTAAAAGTCAACTTTCCAGGCAGACCCATTCTAACACTGTTACGGACCCCAGTGTGCAGAAATACTCAAATACAATAGACAAAAATAATACACATTTTTACTGCATGAGATTAGCATAAAGTGGGTGTGTCTGTACAGGGGAGTTACCCATAGAGCCCATTTTTATTCAGATATCTTGAGGTGAATGGACTTCTGTAAAAAAAAAAGGACATGTCAGTTTTTCCCTCAACAAAATTTAGCCTAACTTAGAAACACTGTTTGGAGAACTCTGGTTGTAAAACTCTGGCCACCACAGCCCCTGAAAGAGGGTAATGTTGGCTGAGGACGCCAGCATCCCTGTTAATGGTTCCTTTACCCTTTTCATGTATGCAAAGTGCTCATTTAAGGACACTTGAAGCCTTTGAAATGTTGTTCTCTTCTCTACCAGACATGTCTGTAAGTTTTTTCCTCTGGCATTGGGTTAGGGTGAGGTTAGGTAGTTTTTACCTCTGGCGCTTAACGACTGGTTTCTCTTTGCACTGTCACATCCAGACCACAGTGGGGAGACAGACACCTACCATGTAAGCGTTGGCCGCCTCTTTTTGCTGAGGTGCCTCTTCGCTGATGCTCACACTAATGTGACCTGGAGCAGAGAGGGGAGGCACGATCAGAGCCTGCCCACCGGAGTGGAAGTCAGGGATGGGTTACTGTGGTTTCTACCTGTGCATGTGTCTCATAATGGATCCTACACCTGTGAGAAAAGGTATAGAAACTCCTGTAGGTTTGACTACATCTGATTGTGACTGCATTAAGAGCCCAAAGGGTGGGGGGGAACTAATATTTTAGTCACCCTATTTATATCAATAATTTAAACTGAAAGAATAATGATGTAGTAGATAAATATGTAAAAGTATTAAATTTTTCCCCAAAGTGAATATCTTAGCAATTCAATTAAAAAGGACCGTTACATTATAAAGTCATACATTTCTGGAGCTCTGGTTGGCCTGTCCTTCAACTGTCTCATAGCTCATCTCCTCTGCAGGGGCACGACTGGATTATTGAGGATGACGTTTGGGGTGTCAGTGTCCAATAAAGAGTGTCCTGATCCACCTGAAACCATATCCATCATTCGGGGAGTCAATGAGGGTCTTCCTTGCAAACAGAAAGAGATCTTCAGACTGAAAAACACAAGGAAAATACGATGGATGAAGGTATACGCGGCTCCAAACAGACACATGTGGGATATTGTATGTCTTTTACTTTATTAAGCTGCCGTTCAGAACAGAGAAACAATCAGTGAAAGCAAAGAAATGGAATTAGGTCAGTTTATTTAATTCATTTTCACAGTTTAAGATTTATTCCTCATTTATTCTTGAAAATGGATTTTAGTTTTGAGATTTCTGCATCATGTTCTGTAAGTTCTGGCTTGATAAATGCAACACTGCCCTCTGCTGTTCACATCAGGAATATGTCAAAGTCTGTGGACATGATAAGTGAGTACACATCTGCGTCTTTAAGAGGCCCTTACAGTGTTAGACATGAAACAGTGGAAAGATGAAGGGTGTATGTCTAAACATTACCTGTACATGATGCATACTTTATTTTCAGCTGCAACAGAAAACCTTCAGCTGTTAGTCATGTTCATTCGTTAGGAACGTCTGCGTGTAGGTGTTTTCCCCTCACCTTTTTCCTCAGTGCCACAAAGCTCAATCGTTGTTTAATAACAGCCCAGTGGACAGAAGGTAATGTTGGCATTGTACATTTCTGCAAACACCTGATACATTACATTTGTGCATTTCATGAATCATATCAACAATTCTAGATTGACTTAGAATATAATCTGACTTTTTCATTGGTAGGGGATGACAGAGAGGCGAGATGCCTGCCAAGCTTCAGACCGCTGTTCAAGACAGACAAAACTGCTGTATTTCCTGCAGCCTTTTAGCCATCAAACGTGTGTGTGTTTTAGCAACCTGTTGCTGCGTTACCTGTCAGGATAGTGCCACAAAAAGTGTTTGTTTTCGACAGAGATGTCACTGTGTTTCCTGTTGGGATAGTGCCATGAAAAGCAGATATTTTAAGGAAAAAGATGATATTTTCTTTAACCTTAACCAAATGGTTTTCATGCCTTAATCAAACCACACCACAGCATTGTTGAAAATGTAAAGTTTCAGCACATTCACTACATAATAACATACAAATATAACGTATCTGTGGTTTGGAAACATTCATTCTGGTGATTGCCAAAACCTGTTACAAACACATGACTGAGTCACACTGTAGTGCCAGTCACTGCAGTTTGTGTTAAACCTCACAAACAACAGAAGTGTTTAAATCTCAAACTTGTACCCAACAAATGCACTATTGAACTATTTATTAAACTATTTTACAAAACCGCGGTGTCACAGTGTTTAAGGAAATTATTGAGCTGGTAAAAATAAAACTGTATATTTGTAAGCTGTTTTAAAGATTTAAGTCTTCAGTAGAGTTGAAAATGTTTGGAGCTGAGCACCACAGACATGACGGGGAGCTCTGAGTGATGGATGTTGTTTACAAAAGTAAAATAAAGCCAGCCTCATCCTTTAAAATTAAGACAATGTTCTCTGCAAATTCCAAAAACTAAACAATGATTTGTAACTCTTCATTGGCAAGACATTTTTGGAAATATACTTAGTTGCTTTCTTGCTGAGAATTATAGCAGATGAAAAAACTGGATACTACGGTCACATCGGTCTGCTTGAAATTAAGCTAACGGTAAGCATACAGTGAAAGCACGGGGAAACTAGCCTGACTATTATTCTAACTGTCGTTGATTACATCCCAATCACCAGATGAAATGTCGGTATCGTACATGTCTACAAACCACAGTTATATTTAATTTGTGCAATATCATGTAGCAGAAACGCTGAAACTTTGTCTGGTCCGAAATCACTCACTACTCTTGCCATGGTTCACCATATTGTGACTTTGCCATTTTGTGTTGCTGTCTGAATGTATAATCAGAATCATTATACCCTATATCAGAAGTCAGTTGAGTCAGTCGGATGAAGTCCAGCGACAGGTAGAAAACCACAGTTCGCAGGATATCAGTAACGCTGCCACTGAGGAGGAGGAGGAGGAGGAGGAGGGGGTAGTAAGAGAGGATGCAGGTGACACTGAGGTCAGTATGCCAGTCAGAGAGAGAACCATGGAGCAAAAGCTTAGAGTTAGATGGCCTAGGGCAAATGACAGTAAAGAATGGGAGATAGTTAATAGAGATTTGTCAGTAATCTTAAGCAGGCTTAGAGATGCAAATGCAATAGAAAGGTTAGAAAAGATGGGAGATAAAATTTACTCATATGGTGCAGAGAGGTTTGGGTTGCATGAGAGAAAGAGGGGTGAGAGGGCACAGTCAGGTAAATCTAGGCGGCAAAGAGAAATAGAGGAGCTAGTCAAGGAAAGGAGACAGTTAAGAAAGCAGTGGAAAAAGGCTACAGAAGAAGAAAGGGAGGGAATTAATGTGTTGCAAGAGGAGTTGAGAAGCAGGCTAGCAGTTCTTAGAAGGGCAGAGCATCTCGGGAAAAAGAGGAGGAAGAAGGAATATGCAAGGACAGGTTTTTTCAGGGACCCTTTTAAGTTCGTTAAAGGATTGTTTAGCCAGGAAAAGGGAGGGCAGCTTAAAGCAGAAAGGCTAGAGGTTGAAGAATATTTGAGAAATACCTATTCAGATTTAGAGAAGAATAGGATAGTAGGTTTCCCACCAGATATTCCTCCATTAGGAAGGATAGAGCATGAGATGGATGTGGGGTGTAGGAGATTCATAGCAAGATCAGCTGTCTGGCTCCTGGGGGAACTCGGAGTGCAGGGACAGAGTTTGAGGAAGACAGTGAAGGAAATGTCAGATGAAGCAGCTAGATCTAGTCAGTGGATTTGGATGAGGAGGAATAATGTCAGTTGGGGGCCAGCAGGGGGAACTACTAAGCAGGGTACATAACTCCTTGAGATCAGGTGGAGAGATCCACTTCCTGTCAGGAGAAAATCCAGGAAGAGGAAGGTTATTTAAGTGTGGGAGTGGCCTATTTGAATCCATTTTGTTTGAGACCATGCTACAAGGTGAGTGTGTTTGCTGATCCTGTGAGTTTATCTATCTCCTTTAACTTTAGTTTATATTGGAGTTATGCTATGTAGCTTGTGAAATAGAGTATGGTGAATGTGCTAGGAAAGGTAGTGTCAGCATTGCTTCTACCTGGAGCTCACATGTATGGAGCCTGGGTTTGTTGAAGTAGGCAGTGCTCTTTGGGCTGATAAAGCCATTTGTAAGTAAGGTAAAGGAGGTTATCACTGCTCACTGATCTGTATAGTTAAGCCTTGCCATAATAGCTTATCATAGGGCTTAGTTATTCACCGAACAGTGATTCTTTATCTAGAGAACACATTTCTTGTGTTTATTTGAACTATAGTCGACTCAAAGTATCCCACAATGAACCATGAAAAGTAGTGAGCAACTGATGGTCACTGACTGAGCAATATATCCCATCATGCATTGCAATAAAGGAATGGACGGACTGTATGGGACGGAGGCAGAGATGGATGAGAGGACAGACAACAGCTGGAGAACAACCTGCTGTTCATGTTTAATTTCTGATGACATGTTGATGTTTGTTTTTCTATGTCCTAGAATTGCTAAACTGTCAGTTTAACACCTTTACCTGAGGTCACCTCAGGTTACCTGAGGTCAACTGAGGTCTACTGAGGTTACCTAAGGTCAGTTGAGGTCAGTTTAATCTGTCGTTGTTGGTCCTGAAGTGATCAAAATAAATGTGATCTAACAGTTAATGTACAGAGGAGTCTAATAATGGTAAGCTAATGTTAGCGAGCTGGGTCATCTCTGCTCTCTTGGTTGTGGTCAAGAAAAATCATGTTTAGGCTTAAAAAAAAAGAAAAGGTTTTGGTGATGCTTCCTCGGCTGAAAACGCAGCAACAGGTTGCTAAAAAACATCCACATAACTTTAAAAAACAGCTTTGTTCTTGGTGTTGAACTTTGACCTGCAGCTCATCTCTCCAAGGTGACACACACCCACTGTCCCCTCCACCTTTTGATGATGATATCAGCTCAGATACTACGTCACTTTAGAAACGTTGATCTGATTGGGTTCTACATAATGAAAAGGTCCTATAAACTAAAACAAACTTTTATTAGAGAGCTTGTCCTGATTTGAATTTGATTTCCTTTTTGCTTTTACATGAGTTGTTTCATTTATTTATTTTTATTTTATTTTACTGGCTTATGTTTTAAGTTTTAAGTTTTAATTTATTGTCCTTTACCTTTGTTGGCTTTTAAGTAGTGACATAAAGTGAAGCACACATCTTAGTTATTAGTGCTTAATAATGAAATAAATAAAATTTGTTGTTATCATCGCACTGTAAAAAATAATTAGTCTGTGTTTGTGTGTTCAGGAGTGCCACCCAGTGGAGGGGCAGAGGAAGAGGGTCTCTGTGGATGAGAACGGTTTAATGAGACTGTCTGCAGCCTCAGAACAGGATGCTGGGACGTACACCTGCCTGGTGGACATTAACTTGGTCGGAAAGAAGTACACAGCTGCACGCAGCATCCAGCTGAATATTAAAAATAGTATGTACTGTAGGTCACTGTAGTCTGAGGGATAATTATTTATTATTTTATGATTTTGTGTTAAATTTTCCACCATAACATACATTTTTTTTCCATTTAATTAAAAGACCTCTTTAGTTCTTACAGAATTTGTTATATTAACTTTAATGCAGTTGAAGTAAAAGAAACACTGATTGTAAAAGTTATTTTAGGGCTATTATTAGGAAGGTGCAGGTTGTGAAAATAAAGAGTAACACAAACTCCCACTGTGTTTTCTCTGATTTACCAGTGGGCCATCCCCACAGAGACTTTAACACCCCCACAGGATCATCTTTGTGTACTTGGGTTTCCCCTCTGATACAGATTCAGTAGATTGTATTATGTTGTATTATTTTCTGTCTCAATGATTATATATGCATGTTGTGCTTGCAGATACATTTATTGCAAAGCCTGAGGTGATGTTCCCTAAAGGGAAAGTGGTCGTGGTTGAAGAGGGTAAGTAACAGTCTCTAACAAATTATAACCACTGTCATTGTGACAGACACACAAACTGTGTGTCTGTCACAAACCGTGTGTGTCAGGTTTGAATCGCTGCAGGTTTATTTGTGTCGTGTTTTCTATTTAGTCCTCAGAAGTAAAAAGAACAAGTTGTAGTATTGTTCAGCTTGTTCTGTGTGATCATATAAAAAATGTGTTGGATCATATCCTACTGTAGTTCCTATCAGTCAAGAAAAAGTAGTCTTCCAGGTTAAAGGAATACTTTACTATTTGTATATCTGTGTGTAACGTAAAGAAGAAAACTTTTTTTTTACTTGAACACTTACACAATGAACGGAGAATCCAAAAATGGTGAACATTCTTCATTAATGGAAGTAGATGGAGACCACATAACAAACTGCCACTCAGCTCATGCAGAATAATCTGAGCAGAGTTTAAGTCTGCCATTCAACCCATTAATAGCTGGTGGGGTAGCTGTGTGATGCTAACAGCTAGCCCTGTTACTGTGTTCGTACAGCATTACTGGGGTGTCAAATATGGCTTCTGTTACTGACGCATGAGGCACCTTATGGCATCTTTATGAGACGCATCAGGCTATAGGCGAACTTTGGTGTAATCCTGTCTGCGGAAATAACATAGTACAAAGAGTGAAAAAGTCTGAGTAGGGTGGGAGAGGGATCATTCTGGATTGGTCAAAAACAAACTGGACTTTTACGCAGGAGACTGCTGTTTGTTTCTTTTGTGAAAGCAAAAGTCAAGCTTTTGAAAAGTATGTAACTGTTTGTCAAGTTACACACTTGTTAGTTACTGTAAGAAACAGTTTTTTTCCCCAGACCAAGATTGTTTTATATGCCTAACCAAGTACTATTGTTTCTTGAACCTAAAGTAGTCTTTCTTGTGAAGATGGTTTATCTTAAAAGACACTGTAGCTGGTAACTAATGAAAATCAACATGCAAAGTGACACAACTGAAACTGATGCTCGAGGAGAGTTTGAAGTGTACAGCCACTGATGAAGCTGCAGTATTTGATAAGCTGGGAGTGAGATCATATTGGTGTGTGCAGGTTGGCGGACTGTCAATAATTGTCAACTACCAGAGCAGTAGTCTCTTAGCGGCAGAGGTTGAAGGACGTCAGGATGTTCAACCTTGTGTTATGATTACCAAAAAAATCCCCCAACCCATTCAGTCTTTGCAAATAGAAATGATTTACAATTTATTTGCAAGTTGAGCAGTGAAGGATGATGCGATCAGTGGTCATTCCAGATGAATTCTAATGCAAGGTGTGAAGAGACACTGCAGCTTTGATTGCGCCCACGGAAATCAGTCCTGACATGAACCCACATAGTTCCTGTCCAAGCCCAACCTGAGCCAAGTAGGTGTGGTCAAGGCCCAAACCCGATTAAAAACCCAAATTTCTACTGTAAAAGAATTATATATTTTTTAATACTAAAACATTTAATACAAGCTAATGGCGCCACTTCTTCTCCTTCTCTTCTTTATTTCAATAGTCTGTTGTGTTGTGTCGTGTAGAACAGATTTGGCAAAGTGAGCTGCGCCCTCCAGTGCATAATGCACACAACAGTCCACGGCGATGTGGCGTGCACATGATGATCACCACTATTCACTGCATTTTATGCCAATCTGTCCCACAGCTGGGGAGGCAGAAGAAGACGCTGCCAACCAACTAAGTTACCTTGTTCTCCAGCCCTCTCTCCTGGTTCTCCACCGTTTTACTCTGTTGGTTCACCTCCACCACCAGTTTAAACAAACAAACAAACAAAAAAAAACAAACAATCCTGCTAAATTGGTGAGAGCCTGACTCTATTCAAACCCGGGGGAAATACATTGAAATTATACAGCCCAGCCTGGCTCGAACTTGGCAGGTCGTGTGGTGAAGGCAATTCTAAGCCTTGTGGCGATCCTGTTTATTTTACGAATATATTTTTTTATAAGGTGGTGGTTACTGGCTGATGGCTTTCTCACCTCCAGACACACCCACTGGTGCTATCGGCCAGTGAGATGGCTCCAATCAGCTGAGCCCAGGTAGACCGGCCCCTACATTATGCCGCTCCTGGCAGTATGGCGAGAGACGCCGGCAAGTGAATAATGAGTCAGAAGTCCTCTGCACATTCGGTCTACCACAGTTCTTTACACTGGTCAAAGTCCGCGAAATAGGTGCGCTTCCTTGTGGAATATCATCCATCTGGCCACTGGCCTCACGTCAGATTACCTGCCACGGATATCAAGGGAACGCTGGAGCATTATGGCATTCACCCGCAGTCCCTTGAGTTGGCAAAAGCCGGGGATTACTGTTCGGTTCATTATTCCTTACTTGCTACCTTCGGACTGGGTTGATTTTTTTAAAAACTGAACTGAGTCAGAGCAAACAGTGGATTTTCTTTACTTCCTTGTTTACGGGAAAAACTGGGTGGAGTTTTCTTTTGTTTAGCGAACTGTGTGGATTGAACTGAATTGAATGGTAATATGTTATTTGGATATCCCGGAGTGGAGTTTTTTGTTTGAACTGGATTGAACTGACTGAACCAAACAGAACATTTCTTTTCTTTGGTGAAAAAAAAAACAATAAAATACTTCCTTGAAACTGATCACTGTTGTATTTGTATTTATGATTCTTTTGTGGGGTTTGACTGAGTAGAGACAATATTTGTTTCATGTGTCAAACCGCTACACCCTAACCAATCCAAGATAGATATTAATATCAGGTGTAAACAGGCTGTTTGTGTGCAATGCTGGGTTGTGGTGTTAAAATATATAATTAATTTAATGTACTTTTTAATCCTGTTTTTCAGAAGTTTTAATAGGACTTACATCTGCAATCGATTCACAGTGAAGTTAGAGAGATTTTCCACTCACAGTGATGTGTGAAGTCACAGCTGCTTTGTTTTCTTCCTGTTTACCAGATACGAGAGTGCAGCTGGAGTGTTTAGCCTACGTAGGCTACAGTGAGGACAATGAGACTTTCATGTATTGGACTGTTGATGGGGCTGACACTGAAGATTACGAGGAACTCAGCGAGTCTTGGAACTAGTGAGTTCCTGTTTCCTGTCATGTTGTTTCAGCTTGCACATAGACGTGGAGGGGGCAAAAGAAGATAAACGCTGCTTGATAATAGTGGAAGTTGAACTGGTGGAAAAAAAAAATCACCACACTGCATTTGTCAGACATCAAAGAGGTCTGAAAATCAACATTTAATATTTGGGTTAAAAAAGTAAACAGGAGGTGATTGGTTGTTGAGAATGAATTAAAGTATCATTTATAAAAAGCATGAGGAAAAAATGTTTATGCTTTTTTGGTTGAATGATTTATCATTTGACTTGACTCACTGACTGATAAACTGATTGACTGGTCTTTTCTCTTTTAGTACTCGTGTCAGCGGCAAGGTGTTTGGTCGGTCCACTTTGTCCATCTCTAAAGTTCGTCGCCAGTTCCTGAATGTCCCCATTTCTTGTTATGTATCAAACTTAGTTGGACATAAAGTCGGCGTGATGTGGCTTAAGGAAGGTATTGTCTTCTTTTATTTTTTCTTTCTGTCAAAGGTGAAGTGTGAAACATCTGGGAGAATTTGGTGGCATAACATTAAATTATAGATTGCAACCATCGAAAATTTTTTCGGTCAGAATGCCTTCATTGTTCAGCAGGTTTTCACCGTGAGCCAAATAAAACAAACAGACCTGGTGATTTAAATAGGTAAAAACACTGAATAAAGCAGTTTCACGGTACAAATCATAGTATCTCTGATGCTGTTTGGCATCTTTCCTACTAGATGCTATCATATACTCAGCCTTTTTCCCTTATAACTTAACTAGTGCTCACCATTTTTCTGATCCAGATGTCCAGGAGGTTTTTTAACGTGAGCCAAATTTTCCTCACAGGTCCCCTCCTTTTCAAGTCAAACAGAACCATTGACTTAAACCAGTAAAATGCTGTAATAGTTTCACATAAAAAAAGTGCTACCCCAACGCTCTCGTTGTGAAGGGGCTGCTAACTACTATGGCTGACTCAAAAAAATGCAAATGTCTTTACCTAGAGTCAGTGTTTGGTTTGTCTGTTCTGGGCTGCTGTAGAAACATAGTGGTGCAACATGGTGATCTCTGTACCTGCTGCCTATGTAGATACAAACGTCTCATTCTGAGGGAACCAGAACAAAATGATTATTTTATGGTGATTATAAAGAAAACAGACTTATTATATTTTCTTCCATGTCTGGTTGTAAATCCTACTTACTGGATCTTTAAATATTACTGTGATGTGCAACATCAACTCGTCTCGTCTCGTCGTCCTCCGCTTATCCGGATCCAGGTCGCGGGGGCAGCAGCCTCAGCAAAGAAGCCCATACAGTCCTCTCCCCAGCCACCTCCGTCAGCTCTTCTGAGGGAACCCCGAGGCGTTCCCAGGCCAGCCGGGCGATGTAATCCCTCCAGCGTGTCCTGGGGCTGCCCTGAGGTCTCCTCCCTGTTGGACATGCCCGATATACCTCCTAAGGGAGGTGTCTGGTAGGCATCCTTACCAGATGCCCGAACCACCTCAACTGGCTCCTCTCGATGTGGAGGAGCAGCGGCTGTACTCCTAGTCCCTCCCGGATGTCCGAGCTCCTCACCCTATCTCTATGGCTGAGCCCAGCCACCCTGCGGAGGAAGCTCATTTCGGCCGCTTGTACACGCGATCTTGTTCTTTCGGTCACTACCCAGAGCTCATGACCATAGGTGAGGGTTGGAACGTAGATCAACCGGTAAATCGAGAGCTTCGCTTTCTGGCTAAGCTCCCTTTTCACCACAACGGACCGGTTAAGCGACCGCATCACTGCTGACGCCACCTCAATCCGCCTGTCAATCTCCCGCTCCATCCTACCCTCACTCGTGAACAAGATCCCGAGGTACTTAAACTCCTCCACCTGAGGCAGGACCTCCCCCCCGACCTGGAGTGGACAATCCACCCTTTTCCAGCTGAGGACCATGGCCTCAGACTTGGAGGTGCTGATTCTCATCCCAGCCGCTTCACACTCGGCTGCGAACCGTCCCAGCGAGAGCTGGAGGTCACTGTTCGATGGAGCTAGGAGGACCACATCATCCGCAAATAGCAGGGACGAGATCCTCCTGTCTCCAAACCTGACACCCTCCACCCCTTGGCTGTGCCTAGAAATTCTGTCCATGAAAGTTATGAACAGAACCGGTGACAAAGGGCAGCCCTGGCGGAGTCCAACCCTTACTGGGAACAGGTCCGACTTACTGCCAGCCACGCGAACCAGACTCGTGCTCCTTCGGTACAGGGACTGGATGGCCCTTAGCAAAGGGCCACCAACCCCATACTCCTGGAGCACCCCCCACAGGATGCCCCTGGCGACACGGTTGTAAGCCTTCTCCAAATCCACAAAACACATGTGGACTGGTTGGGCGAACTCCCATGCCCCCTCCAGCACCCTGGCAAGGGTAAAGAGCTGGTCCACGGTTCCGTGTCCAGGATGAAAACCACATTGCTCCTCCTCAATCCGAGGTTCAACTATCGAGCAGACCCTCTTCTCCAGCACCCTGGCGTAGACCTTACCGGGTAGGCTGAGGAGTGTGATCCCCCTATAGTTGGAACACACCCTCTGGTCCTCTTTCTTGAAGATGGGGACCATCACCCCAGTCTGCCACTCCAGAGACACTGCCCCCGATGACCACGCAATGTTGCAGAGGCGTGTCAGCCAGGACAGCCCTACAACATCCAGAGCCTTGAGATATCCAGGGCAAATCTCGTCCACCCCCGGGGCCCCGCTGCCGCGCAGTTCCTTCACTACCTCGGCGACTTCTGCCCCCAAAATTGGACGACCCGCCAATGAGACCCCCGACTCTGTTTCCTCACTGGAATACGTGTTGGTGGGATTGAGGAGCTCCTCAAAGTATTCCTTCCACCGCCCGACAATGTCCCCAGTTGACGTCAGCAGCTCCCCGCCCCCACTGTAAACAGTGTGAGCAAGTTGCCACCTTCCCCCCCTGAGGCGCTGGACAGTTTGCCAGAACCTCTTTGGAGCCGATCGATAGTCTTTCTCCATGGCCTCACCGAACTCCTCCCACACCCGAGTTTTTGCCTCCGCGAATGCCGCTGCTGCGCTCCACTTGGCCTGCCGGTACCCGTCAGCTGCTTCTGGAGACCCACAGACCAACCATGCCCTGTAGGCCTTCTTCGTCAGCCTCACGGCTCCCCTCACCTCTGGTGTTCACCAGCGGGTTCGGTTACCACCGCGACTGGCCCCCGCGGCCTTGCAGCCACAGCTCGCAACAGCCGTCTCGACAATGGCAGAGCGGAACAAGGCCCATTCGGACTCAATGTCCCCCTCCGCCCTCGGGACGCGGTCGAAGCTCTCCCGGAGGTGGGAGTTGAAGATCATCCTGACAGGTTCTTCCGCCAGGTGTTCCCAGCAGACCCTCACTGCTTGTTTGGGCCTGCCAGGTCTGCGCGGCATCCTCCCCTGCCACCTGATCCAACTCACCACCAGGTGGTGATCAGTTGACAGCTCTGCTCCTCTCTTCACCCAAGTGTCCAGAACATATGGTCGCAGGTCAAATGATACGACTACAAAGTCAATCATTGACCTGCGACCTAGGCTGTCCTGGTGCCACGTACACCAATGGACATCCTTATGTTTGAACATGGTGTTAGTTATGGCCAAACTGCGACCCGCACAGAAGTCCAATAACTGCACACCACTCGGGTTCAGATCGGGCAGGCCGTTCCTCCCAATCACGCCCCTCCAGGTCCCCCTGTCATTGCCCACGTGAGCGTTGAAGTCCCCCAGCAGAACAATGGAGTCCCCTGTTGGGGCACTGTCCAGCACCCGTCCCAGGGACTCCAAAAAGGGTGGGTACTCTGAACTGCTGTTTGGCACATAAGCGCAGACAACAGTCAGGACCCGTTCCCCGACCCGAAGGCGCAGGGACGCAACCCTTTCGTCCACTGGGGTAAACCCCAACATACAGACAGAGAGTCTGGGGGCTATCAGAAAGCCCACCCCGGCCCTCCGCCTCTCACCCGGAGCAACTCCAGCAAAGGAGAGAGTCCAACCCCTCTCAAGGACTTAGGTTCCAGAGCCAGAACTATGTGTCGAGGTGAGGCCAATTATATCTAGCGGGTAGCGCTCAACCTCTTCCACGAGCTCCGGCTCCTTCCCCACCAGAGAGGTGACGTTCCATGTCCCAAGAGCCAACTTCCGTAGCCAAGGATCGGACCGCCAAGGCCCCCACCTTGGTCTGCTGCCCGATCCACACTGCACCGAACCCTTCTGGATCCCTCTGTGGGTGGTGGGCCTGCAGGGGGACGAGCCCATGTAGCCGGTTCAGGCTGGGCCCGGCCGGACCCCATGGGCGAAGGCCCAGCCACCAGGCACTCGCCCATGGGCCCCAGCACCAGGCCTGGCTCCAGGGCAGGGCCCCGGTAACCCTCTGGGCCGGGTACACCAACTCTCATTATCTTCCATCATGAAGGGTCTTCTGAACCGTTCTTTGTCTGACCCTTCGCCCAGAACCAATCTGTCATGGGAAACCCTACCAGGGGCGAAATGCCCCCGACAGTACAGCTCCTAGGGTCATTAGGGCACTCAAACTCCTCAACCACGATAAGGTGACGGTTCTCGGAGGAGTCCAACATCAACTCAAAGAACAAAAATGGTTTTGAACTAATATCATACAGACATTTTAGCAAACAATGCAGGTTGCATTGTTTTTTCATGGTTTGGACTTAGCCAAATGACCCGATTGTTCAAAATAATCCAAAGACCTTACTGTGAGCAGTTTCATGTAGGAACTATTTTCTTTCTATTGAACTACACCCACCAACCGTATTACCATGCAGAAGGAGGTGTGCATGTACCCATGGACAGGAGGTCAGAGTGTGTGGATTATCTTGAGTAACCGGTCAGGTTAGAGTGTTTTGTCAAACATTCCTACATTCATCAGGTCATTTGTAACGCAGAGTTGGTTACAAATAAATACAGTGGGACCCTCTGACAGTGATCACGTTTTCTTTTACTTTATTTCTCATGCTCGTTACTATTTAATTGATATTTGTATATTACAATATAATATCAAGTAATGAGGGGCATTATGTGAGCAGTCTTTATCAATGCATTTGACGAGGGCTGCTTCAATGACAGGTGTTTCCCATGTGTGTTTCTTTCCTGTCTCTATCATCAGTTGCCATGACTGTTTCTCATTGTTTGAGTAGTCACAAGGTAGCCTGAGCAACACCACATTTTACTGCAGGATCTCTTTGGCTGATTTTTGGCACAGACAGCATAAAATAATGGACATGTAGCCACCATGACGTTACCCATTTTAAAGCCTTGAATTGCCATTTTGGCCGTCACCAGCTTCAATTCTCGGAGCCAGAAGTGACAAGTATTTGTTTGAGAGGGTCAAGATAATGCTAACGCTAGCTGCTAACTTTGGCTGGATGCATTTATAGCTATGGTCACTTTTGATAATGTTAATGCTAATTTTTATTGTTGGTAAAAAGGCTTAAAACCATTAAAACAAAATGAATATCCGACTTTGTAGTGGGTCTTTTAGTACAATTAGACACTGAAGAAGAACTTTTTAGGCGACCAAGATTGATGAACTGAAAACACCCTCGGGCAGGAGATAAAGGACGATAAAATGCCGGACAAACAGGTTCAAGAACAGTTTTTACCCAAGAGCAATAGTGTCGCTGAACACAATCAAGGCATAAAAAGAGTGGCTGTGCAATAATCTCATGACTATGTGTCTGTGAGCTGTGTCTGTGCGTGTGAGCTGTGTGCTTGGTATTTATGTGTTTTTTATTTATTTTTATCTTAGTACCAATGTTCTTATGTTTTTATGTTTTATCTATAAATTTGCACTAACGGGTTTGCTCTGCAATTTTGTTGTACAATGTACAATGACAATAAAGATCTATTCTATTCTATTCTATTCACTGAAATAGTGACTGCTAGGGGCACACACTGTGTGCATCTGGAGTTACACCATGGCTGTGTTCCCTAACAAATACTGTGACTGCGGTGGCAACTTGTCAACAGTCAGCACCCACCTGTCACTTAATACAGCCATGCCCTTAATAATGCGGAACATTAGGTCTAATTAACATTTATACAGGCTACATAAATGAAAATTTCACTGCGTACAGTCATTATGAATGTTGAAATTATCTACAGGGGCCAGAACAGTGTTTTTGTACTAGGCTGTCAACATGTTTACATGTTTATTTCAGCTGTTAAGTTGGGTGTTTTAACATGGGGGGAGGGGGCGGGGGGTTGGGGGCTGACTCACTCTTGGAGCCAGTCTCAGTTGGCCATTAGAGGAACTACCGGTTTTGGGATTTCCCAGTTGGCTTCAATTTTCAGCCCTGGAAGTTGCCACTTGGTGGTTTGTCATTAGCGCTGGGGAGACTCCATTTTTTATCAGGAGAAAATGACTTTTTCTTGTCATGATGTCAATAAGTGCACAGAGCAGCAGCCTCAGGGGTCCCACATGATGGATCATCCCTGAAAGTCTTCTCAGAGTCTTTGTTTATTGTAGTTGTAAATATGTGTTCACAAATCAAATGTTTAAAGTTGTCTGTCTCCTTCTGTCTGCAGCTGATCGCAGTGCTCTCTACACCAGCTTGGCTCTCTGCCTTGTTGCCTCCCTGGCTGTCCTGGCTGTGATGGCTGCCTTCCTCTTCTTTAAAGTAGACCTGGTGTTGGCTTACAGGAAACTGTTGAGACGTTTTTCCAAACAACAAGGTACATGTTGTATTTATATGAGGTGTTTTGGAATCTTGTGACGAGATACTGCCAGGAAACAACAAACTTCACTGTAAACTGTCGATGAAAAGGGAGGATAAAACAAGCAAACACGGTTGTCAGCAACATTGAATGAACACAAAACAAGTTCCATAGATAGTAAAATCAACAGGAATCTAAAAGGGCAATAAATGACAGACTGGTGACTGTCAGCTTGTTTGAAGCTTTATGCAGACAATACTGTCTTCTCTACAGCTCCAGATGGGAAGCTCTATGATGCCTATGTGAGCTTTCTCCATCCTGACAGCCTGAGTTCAGCGGAGACAGCAATGTTGGCCCTGCAGATTCTGCCTGAGGAGCTGGAGAAAAAACATGGCTACTCACTGTACATCAGAGGACGGGACGACTGCCCTGGAGAAGGTGAGCGACACTCAGGTGCTTCACATTTAGAGGTACAATAAAGGCACCTTGTGAAATTTTCTTGGAAACAAACATATTAGCATTTAATGTTTCGACTTGCAGATGTACTTGAGGTAAGTAATGTATTGGCACCTAATTTAAAACCTTTTTTATATTTGACAGCAGGGGGAGTTTTGGTTGCCTGAGAAGTTGACGAATCTACAAGCACGTCTTATTTGCTGGGACAGATTCATACAATCTATGAATTTTATTCAGAAATAAATGTAATAATGCCCTTAAACCTAGACTTCGCAATCTCAACCTGAGCCTTACGGGCCAGGTTTGAGCTGAAGTCAGCATGCTGCTCTGAATTTATTGAATCATTTAAAATTAATGATCTAAAATGCAAATGCAACATAGATCATAGATATTATATATCAATTTATTGATGTCATGTCTTATTTCTTTCACTGTAGCCTGGAGGCTTTTTAAGCACCAGATAGCAGCTCTGTCTCCTTTTCGCCCTGCAGACAGGGATAGAAGAAGACGGAGCAGCAAAGCTCATTGCCGGACTCCGTCCTTCCTCCCGGTTGGAGCCTCGCTGGTGGAAAAACAATGTGGAGAGTCAGTGATCCACTGAAGTAGTCCATTTTCTTTTTTTTAAAGATTATTTTTTGAGCATTTTTGTCTTTAATGTATAGGACAGAGTGAAATGGGGTGAGAGAGAGAGCGGGGGGTAACATACAGTAAATGGTTGCAAGCCGGACTCGAACCTGTGACCACTGCGTTGAGGCATTGCCTCTGTACATGAGTTGCCGGTAGTATTCTGTACTACTACTCCTTGTTTTGTGGTTCACATCCGGGTTAGAGCAACGCCGGCGTCTGGACTGTTGACTGCCGCTTCTGTCCTGGTCCGTGTCTAACGTTTTGTGTGCTCGTCTTTTGTTTTGTTTTATCTCCGCGTCTCTGTTACTTTACCTGTTTAAGTAAGTCTTCGTGCTTCTCCAGCCCACCGTGCTTCTCTCCATTCCCACTCATCTGTTCCCTTACTCCTGGACTATTAGCTATGTTAGCCAGCTAGCTAACAGCTGGCTAAACTTCACCACCACTGGATCCATCTGTCTCCCGGCTTCGAGTGTGTGGATTGCTCGCTCTGGGCTTGGGTGAGTACGTTGTGTGTTTGTGGTGGTAGTTGTGCCAACCCGGACCGCCCTGTTGCGTGCCTCACCGACAACACTAGCCCAGCTGTCTGGCTATCCAGCCAACATTCTTGGGGGGAGCCTCCACTCCCTGCCAGCTCGTCTGCTGTGGCCTAGCTGAGTGCCTACATGGCACAGTGGGGCTTGCCTGCCGCGTGGGTACGGTCTGGGGCAACCAACATCACTCACTTCACTAACTTCAACACCTGGTCCACTGCTGCTTCCACACAACTCACTGCCTACCAGCTTCTAGTTAATCAGCTACTAGCCACTGGTAATATACTACCCGGACTACTCTCATCTGCTGTCACGTCTCACCTCCCCCTTGGATTATCACTCCTGCTACTCTAGGCTACTATTCCACCAACTTCTCGCCCACTCTCCTACACTCCTGTTGACCTTCACCGTCTCAGCAACAACCACCGTCTCCCTGCTGCTGCTGCCACCGCAGCTAGCAAAGCTGGGATTCTTCGCTGACGCTGCTACATCCACAGAGGTTCTGGTCCCTCTTGCAACCGACACTTCCCTGATGGCTCACCTATCCCCTGTGTTATCTGAACTGCTACTGGACAATAACATTGACCTGCTTCTCCTCTGTGAAACATGGCAGCTGCCCCTGGACTTTTATGCTCTCAATCAAGCCACTCCCTCCAACTACAGTTACATTGCCAAACCCCGCCTCTCCGGGCGAGGGGGAGGTGTTGCTGTTCTCCATAAACAATCCCTACCCATCACTGAACTGAACCTCAACCTCCCATCTATCTCATCCTTTGAACACCTTGCCTTCTCCCTCCCCAACTCTATCACCACTGTTCTAATCTACCGTCCCCCAAATCCACACCCCTCTTTTCTCTCTGAACTGTCTGAACTCCTCACTATTGCATCCTCTCTCTCTTCCCACCTCCTACTTATCTTAACTTATCTTGATCAGCCCAACGCCCCACTGACGTCTGACTTACTCTCTCTCCTTGACTGCTTCCACCTTACCCAAAACGTCGACTTCCCCACCCATACCAAAGGCCACACTCTGGACATAGTTTGCTCCTCCTTCCTACCCATCTCTAACCCCCATCCCCTCCCCTTCCCACTCTCTGATCATCTCTGCATCCTCTTCTCCACCCCTCTACCCTCACCACATAATCCCAAAAAATGCACCATCTCCTACTGCAACATCAAGGCAGTCAACCCATCCACGCTCTCCCAGCTCTTTTCCTCTGACTTCCTACTTGACCAACCCCGCCCCCTGGTACACAGACTGGCTGTCAACTCGAACGACTATACAAACGAACCCACCTCACCGTTCACACCGAAGCCTACAAACAACACATCTCTTCCTACCATGATGCTCTCCAAGCTGCCAAATCCGCCCACTTTTCCACCCTCATCAACAGCACCAACCAGAACCCCCGCATCCTGTTCTCTACCGTCAACAAACTGCTCCAACCACTGGACATCAATCCACCCTCCTCCCCTGACCTTTGCAACTCTTTTCTCCTCACCTTCAACAATAAAATCTCCCTAATCAACAGCTCCCTGACTGCCACCATCAGCAACTCCACCCCCACCACTCCTGCCTTGCCTCCATCACCCCCATCCTCAAAAAGCCCACCCTTGATCCAGCCAACCTCTCCAATTACCGCCCCATCTCCAACCTGCCGTTTTTCTCCAAAACTCTGGAACGCATTTTCGCCGCTCAACTCCACACCCACTTCCAGTCAAACAACCTCTACGAACCCCTTCAGTCTGGTTTCTGACCACTTCACAGTACTGAAACAGCCCTTGTCAAAGTCATCAACGATCTCCTCACCTCTGCAGACTCCGGTGCCCTTAACATCCTGTTACTACTTCACCTCAGCGCAGCCTTTGACACAGTGAACCATTCCATCCTCCTACAAAGGCTGCGCCATCAGGGTGTTGAGGGCACTGCACTTGACTGGCTCACCTCCTACCTCACCGACAGGCAACAGTTCATCTCCCTCTCTGGCCACACATCCACCCTCTCCCCAGTTACGCAGGGGGTCCCTCAGGGCTCAGTCCTCAGCCCCCTCCTCTTCATCTGCTACCTCTTCCCCCTTGGTCACATCATCCGCAAACTCAACCGGGACTTCCACTGTTACGCTGACGACACCCAGATTTACATCACCACCAAACCTACCCAAAACCCTCCCCTCACCCACATCGAAACCTGCATCTCTACAATACAAACATGGCTGACTCAAAACTTCCTCAAACTCAACAGTGACAAAACAGAGCTTCTCCTCATAGGCACCAAATCCACTCTCAACAAAACTGGACCCATCTNGTCGACTTCCCCACCCATACCAAAGGCCACACTCTGGACATAGTTTGCTCCTCCTTCCTACCCATCTCTAACCCCCATCCCCTCCCCTTCCCACTCTCTGATCATCTCTGCATCCTCTTCTCCACCCCTCTACCCTCACCACATAATCCCAAAAAATGCACCATCTCCTACTGCAACATCAAGGCAGTCAACCCATCCACGCTCTCCCAGCTCTTTTCCTCTGACTTCCTACTTGACCAACCCCGCCCCCTGGTACACAGACTGGCTGTCAACTCGAACGACTATACAAACGAACCCACCTCACCGTTCACACCGAAGCCTACAAACAACACATCTCTTCCTACCATGATGCTCTCCAAGCTGCCAAATCCGCCCACTTTTCCACCCTCATCAACAGCACCAACCAGAACCCCCGCATCCTGTTCTCTACCGTCAACAAACTGCTCCAACCACTGGACATCAATCCACCCTCCTCCCCTGACCTTTGCAACTCTTTTCTCCTCACCTTCAACAATAAAATCTCCCTAATCAACAGCTCCCTGACTGCCACCATCAGCAACTCCACCCCCACCACTCCTGCCTTGCCTCCATCACCCCCATCCTCAAAAAGCCCACCCTTGATCCAGCCAACCTCTCCAATTACCGCCCCATCTCCAACCTGCCGTTTTTCTCCAAAACTCTGGAACGCATTTTCGCCGCTCAACTCCACACCCACTTCCAGTCAAACAACCTCTACGAACCCCTTCAGTCTGGTTTCTGACCACTTCACAGTACTGAAACAGCCCTTGTCAAAGTCATCAACGATCTCCTCACCTCTGCAGACTCCGGTGCCCTTAACATCCTGTTACTACTTCACCTCAGCGCAGCCTTTGACACAGTGAACCATTCCATCCTCCTACAAAGGCTGCGCCATCAGGGTGTTGAGGGCACTGCACTTGACTGGCTCACCTCCTACCTCACCGACAGGCAACAGTTCATCTCCCTCTCTGGCCACACATCCACCCTCTCCCCAGTTACGCAGGGGGTCCCTCAGGGCTCAGTCCTCAGCCCCCTCCTCTTCATCTGCTACCTCTTCCCCCTTGGTCACATCATCCGCAAACTCAACCGGGACTTCCACTGTTACGCTGACGACACCCAGATTTACATCACCACCAAACCTACCCAAAACCCTCCCCTCACCCACATCGAAACCTGCATCTCTACAATACAAACATGGCTGACTCAAAACTTCCTCAAACTCAACAGTGACAAAACAGAGCTTCTCCTCATAGGCACCAAATCCACTCTCAACAAAACTGGACCCATCTCACTCTCTATTGGCACCTCGACCATCACCCCCTCCCCCCGGCACGCAATCTCGGCGTTATCCTGGACCCCACCCTCTTCTTTGATCACCATGTCAGCTCCATCGTCAAGACCTCCTACTTCCGCCTCCGCCGCATCGCCAAAATCAGACACTGCCTCTCTCCCCCTGCTGCTGAATCCCTCATCCACGCCTTCATCTCCTCCTGCCTCGACTA